CTGTTCACTGGCGAAATTTTTTAGCAGATGATACGTTCACGTATCAGCGTGCTTGTACTCTCGTGCAGAGAGTACCGAGTTTCCGGCTAGCCAGGCAGCAGTTGCCTCTAGCAAGCCTAGAGGAGGTCGAGCGCCTCGCTGGCAAGGCAGCGGCTGGCTGGCCTGCCAAGAAGAATATGAGCGGAGGACCCTCAGCGTGCCGCGCCGTCGCGCCGCGCCGCGCCGCGCGCCGCACAATGAATCGGGGCGCCTGCGGGGGCTCGGGTTGAGCGCGCGTAGAACCTCGACACCCAGTTATTTAGCTTCATAAAGTGCGTCCCTCACGTTGCGCGCTATGCCGCTCTCCTTCCTCTCGTCACGAGACACTGGTATAGCACGCATCGCGCAGCAGCCCCCCGCGCCCCTTCCTCTGCCGAGACGCCACGTCCACCGCGCCCCGCCACACCCCGCAACAGTCCAAACACACACACCCACTTGAACCTTGAGTGCGTAGAACGCATAGTGCAGCGCCCCCCCGAACCCCTGCCCCTCTCGAGAAGCGGCGCGCCGGCAGTCGGCAGTGCACGCCACTCATGCTTATCTTGAGCGTCTCGGGTTCGGGTGTCGCAGGCCGCGGCCGGCCGGCCCTGCTTGGATATGAGGCTGACACGCTGCGTCCGGCGAGGCATCCCGCCCTAGTACCGAAAACAACTTTTACGGGTGTTGAGTATTCATGTGATTAGCCACCAAATTCTGCATCCTCGCTTTGAAACAACGAAAATACCCAACACAAGTGGTATCCGACATATGAGTGTCCCACCGACATTGCGAACATGTTTAACACAAAACAATGGCACGTTAGGACATCCAAAAGTTAAAATAATATTTACATTTTCGTGAATTATTATGCGTAAGAAATTTGTCAAATGAACAGTTCCGAGTGTTTACTCTTTCAAATTAATTCACAAAATGTCACTCATCATCGTCAAATTTTTCTACTAATAGTGGAGATAAAAACATCACACATTTAAGTAAACATTCTCATTAGTATCATCTGCTTTCACGTTAGCGTTAGCGTTAACGTTTTTTTGAAGGGATAAACTGGAGATTGTTGCCGATTGTTGCCCACTTAGGGACAGGGCGCACCTGTTTGCTTTACGAGAAAGCAACCTCAGGTCATGTGGAACCTATGCGAGTGAGACAGGCGGTTGGGGACAAGTCACTCCACCTAACCTAACGTGCCCTGTGGCCCCTGTGGGTCGCAGCGGCCCCAAAAGGCGGACCAGAGTGAACGCCGCACAGTCGTTCGGTGGATCAATACTGAATGATTTGGCTCGCTATGATTGCTAGTGTGGTGTGGGGCAAAGCGGGCAAAGTAGGCAAAGCAGTGTCGTGAAAAGGAGGTGCACGGGAAGGGCCAGAACCACGCGGCGGGCTGCAGTGCAGGGCTGCAGCAGACTGATTCCCCTCACTGCTTTCGTCGCTCTGTCTCTCTCGCACACACGGGGCGCCGCATGAGTGCGAGAGAGACAGAGAGCAGTGCTCGGAATGAGGCTGCAGGGCTGTTGGACGCGCAGTCGCTCGCAGCGCGTTGACCCCGCCACCCAGCCTCGGGGGCCGTCCCCGGAGGCCTCAGCCTAACCTAACCTTGCGTCATCAGGATTGGTCCTTCCCCGAAAGTAAGAATGTCCTGATGGGAACACGATCGGGCTCTTACATTGCGCTCCTGCAGGCTGGGGGCTCGCCTTGCCCTAGCTAGTGTGCCCCCAGGCCCCCAGGCCGGACTACACTAGTCCTCGACGGGACGGGCCCCGTCCCTGTGGGGCAGGCCGGGCAGGCGGGGCAGGCAAGGGACAGGCAGGCACGCAGGCTAACCGGGCCTTTTCAGGCGGATCCTTCCTTGCTTCCTCGTATACGCGGCTACGCGGCTTTCAGTCGCCGCACCGCTCTGGCGAGGCCGGCGAGGCTCTGGTCGGACTAGGCTTACGCGCGGGGAATCTTCATTGTGTGTGTAGGTGTGAGCGAGTGCGTGTGTGTGCGTGCATGCGCGTGCCATGCAGCCGCCATGCAGCCGCCGCCCTTCGCCTGGCTGGCCAGGCCCTCTGTTCCTTTCTCCCATGGGCTGCACGGCTGGAGGTGGGCAGGCAAGTTGCCCCGCGGGCCAAATCCCGAACACTTACTGCATCGCTCTGTCTCTGTCGCACCGCAACGGAACGCCCCACGAGTGCGAGAGAGACAGAGCACTGCTGGGGGGTGTAGCGACGGGGGGACGGAACGCAACGCGCACTTTGCGTCTGCTTTGCGTCGCAGTCGCGCTGCGTTTGGGGAGAACGAACGTTGTGCCCCCGCCCCGCGAGCCGCGCCTCCCCCCCCCCTTTCCCTCTCCACCCCTCCCCCCTCAAAAATCGAGTTGGGGACTGTTGATAAAGCACGTCACCTCTGAGGGGGAAGAAAAGGGGCCGATCATGTCGAGGGGTAAATTAATTTGTTTCCGCCCTTACCGATCAAAGATTGTAGCGTGCGAATTTCGAACAGTCCAAGAGGAGTTTGAGTGCGCAACGCAAGGGGGGCCTCGTCCTCACCATCCTCACGAGACTCGCAGAGACTCGTCGGGCAGGTCAAGATTACCTTATGACTGCCCGGCCCGCCGTGCCAAGTCGTGCCCCCCCCCCCTCCTTTCACCTCCTCCGAAGCCTCGCGGCCCGCGGGTCGCTCGCTGCGATACCCCTTGCCCCAGTGTCGCAACAGGCGGGGAGTATCTGCGGCGACATCGGCAGAACAGAAAATGAATGCCCCACCGGCCCGGCCAGGGACGGGAAGGGCCTTTGTTTTCATTTTCTTATCGCTGCGTGTGCCGCCTTCGCTGCCTGCCGAGCGATTCAGAACAGTCGCTCTGTCTCTCTCGCACTCGTGGGGCTGTCCGTAGGGGAGCGAGAGAGACAGTGGCCGGCCTGTCATTAGTGCGGGCCCATCTGATGGGCATCGGGGCGCACGATGGCACGATGGGGCGGCCCAGGCCCAGAGACTGGACGGGACTGTTTTTCTACTGTACCGGAAGGACGGGACGGCGTCGAGCGCCATGCGATTGTTCCAGAACAGGTGCGCCAAAATTCGGCGATAGGTTTCAGGTTCAACCGGACAAAGGCCAGCCTTTACACATTTGGACACGCGGAGTTGTTGAGACAACAGCACTAGAGCACTCGCCCTTTCCCCGGGATCGATACAGTGGCCTGTCGTGACCTATGGTGACCTTGTCGTGCGTGAAGTGCACGTTCGATTACCGCCCCTGTTGGCAGTGCGGTGTCATGGGCCAGTGCCTCCTCGGGAACGAACACAACAGACTGATTTCGAGAGTCGTTTTCGTCTCTGTCGCACTCCTGGGGCGTCACGTACGGGTGCGAGAGAGACAGAGCGACGAACGACTCGGAATCAGTCGACTGGTCGATACCCCGGGCAGTGACTCTTTAATGCCGTCAGACATCTCTTATGCAGTGCAGTGCCTGCCGAGCGATTCCGCACATCATAGTGTCGTGGCTCTGTCTCTCTCGCACCCGTGGGGTGTTGGCGCCACAGACAGAGCGACGACAACGAATAACTTGTCGGAACGGGGTATTGACGGCGACCTGATTTTCCGTGTTTGCCCACAATGTCTTGGAGAGTCTCTCCGTCACGGGGTAGTGACGACTCGGGCCGATTCTTTTTCCACTGGCAATGCCGGTGACGCAATTTTTACCACCTAGACCATAAATAGCAGCAGAGGTGGTGGCAGGGCGTCGGGGGCGTCGTAAATTTTACGACTCCGCTAACTTTTGTTTTGTGATAAGACTTTCTTGGCGGACGATTGTACTGTTCATGTTGATCCATATTCTTTGCAGGTACCCATCCCTCGAGTTTTAGTTTTTGAGTTCGCTAACGAATGTTCTTGTTTTTGTGTTAACAGATGCGGGGGTGACGTGAAGGGGACTTTGTCGCCGAAATTCTTCGTAAGACGACCCACCGATCTTCACTCAAGAGCCACACTGCGATTCTTTGAACTTCACGCCCCAGTCAACACGATCGAAGGATCCTCCGCCCCGGAACAGTTGTGGCAGGTTCGCACCTTTGCGTGGCCAATTGTTTGCACGAATATGCCCGAAGCAGAGACTGACATTAACAATTCACTCCACAGGCGTTCCACGGGCCACCTGAAGAAGGATGCCGCACGGAGAGGAGTTTGACAACAGCGTGGGATGGGGCGGATGAACTTGCTGCAGGGTTACATTTTGCATATTTTTCTAAGCAAATTTGGTTAATAAAAACTTATTGCTACCTATCAATAAAGCAGTCTCGAATTGTCTTTAAATGATCCGCCCTCCATCAACACGAAATTCCTTACCCCAAAGTCATAGGCCGAGGCCCGCCCAACGAAGTCACAAATTATTTTTTTTTTACTTGGGTGTAGCAATTTGAGGCCCATGGCTAGATACAGCACACGCTTACTAAGCTAAGAGGCTCAAGTGATCTTAGGCCGGCGCTCGCCAATCGGCCGCACCAGGCAGCCAGTAACAAGCTATGTAACTTTGGCATTCCCTTTGCCCTCCACGTATGGTGGACTGTCGCGGCTCAGCCCCGGGCTCCTCACACCCAAACCTTTCTGGGCACACACCAAAACGGTGAATGAACAGAAAAAAACTGCATTGTCTCCCCTTTTACGTTGGGACGGAAACAGATTAGAGCACTCCTTCTCGAAGGTCTCCGCGGTTCTCTTACATTTAGGACTCTAACATTTTGAGCAGCCACTCATTGATTTCTCATACTTCGATCCAAGGACAATTTGTCATACTTCTCCCGGAAGTGAGTGGTTGGCGGGAAGTTGCGCATCTTTCTTTCCGTGCAAAAGGACAGTGCGCAACCTTGCAGTAAAAGTCCTACTCCAAGGTGTAACGTTGCGTGTAGGGACCCTCTCACCTAGTTGAGTAAGTGTGCTGAGAGCAGGATGAAGGTGTATTTAACAATAAATGGAAGAAATGAACAATCACACATACAGTTGTGACATTTTTAATGTTCACATAAACTTGTGTACATAGTTTATATTACATTCAAAGACAGGTTGGATACTTTGAAAAATGCTTTCTTCAAAAACCAAGAAAGTATGAAGATGCACATGAACATGGACAAGTTGGCTGCTACAAAATTCCCAATTAATCAATTTCCTTCGGGAAGAGAACTTCTTTGAAAAACTGCAGATTTCTTAAAATAAAAGCAATAATACCTAGCAAAAGGGAATCACAGATGCTGCCTTCTTGAAATGTCAATCAATCACCATGAACTACTGCATCTATAATTAAAGGTTACATTTATATCACCAATACCCAGACATTTTCAGAAGCTATTAACTAAAAATTGAAAAAGGTAAGGAAGTCAAGCCACAGCAAAAATTAAAACCTTCTTTTTTAAAAAAGAAAACAAGATAAATGAAAGCAAGGCAATGCTTTCAAAACAAAACTTACACATGTGACAGTTCTACATGTCAAAGAAAAGAAGAACAACAATCATTAACAGACACATAAATCTTAAAAACCCTACTTCTATTTCAAACATCGAAACAGTTCAAGTTAACATCCACCAATTTGAAAACAAAGATTGTCGTCACTTGACTTCCTCACCACTAGATTCACACTTCACTAATGGGGGGCACCGTTTTAATTAATATTACCCAGTCATCGACTAGAATCAAGTTGCACTTAAACAGCATAAACCAACCAACTTTGAGCATGTATGATAGCAAAATGCGGTCTTGCACTATTTAAGCAAAGATTCACAGATATGCTTTTAATTTGTCAGACAGATTGACTTCAAAAAAATTTTGCTTGAAGTAACAAAGAAATATTTTAAGTCTACATAAAGACTACATTTTTAATTTGAAGTTTGGAAAGAAAGTTTCCCAACAAGACGACCGTTAAGAATTCCAAGTTGCGTCATATCTTAGTTAGTTGCAGCAAGATACATAGTTGCCGGGAAATATTTATCAAATTAGTTGAAAAGAAAGCTACATGATAATATAAGAAGCATACAGTGTTGTCTCGATTCAGACGTTTAAAAACCACAGAACAGCATAAAATCATCAAAGGAAATCAAGAAAATGGAAAATTTGAATAGACATTGAACCAAGTCTAACCATTACTTCAGGCGGGCGCACAAATAATCCCTTGAACAATTCAATCATATCTGATGCTTTGACTTTGGTCCCATTTCATAGGGAAAAGCTTCCAACTAAAGACGGGATACCAAATTATATTTTTATACGAAAGTCTGCAAACCATAGGACAGACAGACACAGATTTGAAATGGAATGGAATGCAATATGACACATCACTGCTGAGCATCCAGCCCAATTTAGAAATAGGATACAATCTGGTGATGTATTGAAAAACTTAAAACTCAGCCAGCTCAAAAAAATCATAAGAAAGTATACCAGTGACGGTTGAACATCCAGGCGCAGGCAAATACAGGGAAATCCAATGCTGAATCCTGCATGCCTGGTGGGGCGTAATGCTATGCTAACAGCAGCCACACAAGAAAGGCAAGTGCAACCCACAGAAATACTTTTGACAGAAATTGGTCTTCAGGGGATTGAGTATCATGTGGTGCTAAAAAAGATAAAGAATCAAGTTTCAGAAAGACAGCAATAATAAGCAATTTAGGAAGAAGCTAAAGACAAGTTTGTTGTACAAAAAGCAAGGTACCTGCAAATCCTCTGTTGTCACCAAAGTGGAAAGAAGATGTGATGAAACCAAAGGGAAAGGCTCCAATGCCAAATGACATGAAACTCCCATGGAAGCCAAGACCAGGAAAATTCTGCAAGTAAAGAAAAGTATAACAATAACAGCGGGAATTGATGGTAATGGTAGAACTTTTGTTTAATTTATGTTGACAAGTCTGCAATATGCTGAACAGGAGAATGATTGTAACATGTTTCTTCTCCTTGTCAGTTGGCAGTATGAAATAATTCAATTTGTCAATATGTTGGTATGGATCAGACTCCCTTGTGCTCAGATAAAGGTCAGAAAATTTGAAAATGGGAACATTCCAATGCAGTCTACAATGGATCAGTTCAACACCATAAATATGACTAAAAGCGTCACAACATAAAAATTCTTTTGAAGTACTTCAACAGTAAGATTTATTTCACATACTCTTCCACATGGATGTAACTGCAATGATGTTAAAAGTAATATTCAATAATGGCAATTTCAATTAAAAGCACAAGAGTAGATTTCTTTAGTTGCACAATAAAAATTTAAAAATTATAACACATTACAAATTTTAATGCACACAGCACAGAGTAGACATGCTCTAAGAATTTGTTTCTCATTCAACTCATTCTCAGCATATTATATCACATGAAGGGATTTGACTACATGCAAAGATGACAAGAATTTTGTATGTAGTGTATAAATAACCAGAAAAGAGGAGATTGAAAAAAAAAGGATGGATTCTTTAAAGGACACCTACTACAATTTAATGATCTTTCGGAAGTACAGGCCAACAGTTAAAGAGTTAACAAAATAACTTATTTCAAGAAATGGTACAGGAATTTGGATTACAATTACAGTCCAATAAATTTGGGAATGCACACATTCAGACTGACAAATCAAATACTGTGTATGTTCATAAGAAAAATAGTTATTTACATCTTTTAGATACTTTTAAATTAGGGTACATAACACTGATGACAAAAGCGGGGAATGAAATGGACACTTGTTACAACAAAGGTTTTAAAGACCACTTTCACTCGAGGCTTCATCCACACCCAACTCTTCAACTTCCCAGTAATTATGAGTAGCTCTTACTACATCAGAAACAGCAGTACTAGAGCCATCATCAGAATCTGAAATAGAATTACTATCTGAAACTGAACTAAGACTTAGGTCTTCATCTTCATCAGATGGATCCGAAGTAGAGGAATCTAACTGGACAGTCTCAACTTCCCAGTCATTAGACTCATTAGGTGTAGCATCATAGTCGAAATCAAACCAGTTGTGCCCCAAATACACATTCATATAAGCAGCAGCGTCTAAAATACTATCATTGCCCAAGAACCATGAACCAGCCGAGTCCATGTCATCTGATGATTCTTCTCCCACCGTCCACCATTGACCTTCCTCCGTCTGTATTTTAAAAGAAATGACCAAAAACTACTTAGCTAAACACAAAACAATCTGTTGTTGTCACTGACTATGAGAAAATTGGGCAGCTAGTATGTTATAAATTTAAGAAGAACAGACTCAGTTTTCATATCATGAAAACAAAACACAATTTTTGAAGGATTTTTATTACAATATTTTAACCATAGTCAGAAACGCCAACATCTGTAAGAAAAGCTGTAATTTTCTCACTTCCTGCCAGGAGTCCCAATATTTAAAAAAAATAAAGAGGCTCAGAGGAAACTTTTTTTTTTGAACGGACAAGAAACAGTACATACCGTATTAGCTTCTGGCTCAGACCTTTGACCAGCAGGGCGTGGAGGTGCTTTGTTTCTGGATGAAAGAGTAATGAAAGGGCCATTTAAAACAAGTTAACAAAATAATACTGTCACTAGATCTATAAACAAATTCTTACCTTGGGTCTTCTTGCTTACTACTTCCACGCCCATATAACGGAATAACTTTTTCCTTACTAATAGCTGCTTTACACACAGGACACATTTGTCTTGCTGGCCGTGTTTCCAGCCATTGATGGAGGCATGGCCAACTGCAAAATTACCACTTAGCATCATTTAAAGTACAAACAAATAAAGCTCATAGAAAAATCTTCTACAGCTCTTACCAAAACAAATGACCACACATGCTTATCACAGCATCTTTTGCAGTGTCGAGACAAATGTTACATTCGAACATGCGCTCATCCTTCTTATCTTCTTCTCCTGCGTTGCCATTGTCTTGACTGCTGCCACTGCTACTGGCAGCCCCCGCAGGCCCAACATCCACCATTTTCGATTAACAGTCAATCCCTGTAACAAACAATTTCATAATTTAATTTAAAATTTTTAAATGAATAATGCACATAGCACAAAGTGTTGCAAATTGATTCCAATATAAGCAGAGATGTCAGAAAAGCATGGGGGTACAGTAAGACCATTGATCTCAGCATCTCAGTTGGACACTAAATTTGAGAATTCGAAAAAATTGCAAAATCTGGAATCACATTTGTTTGTATGCTTGGATGTTGAAATCCGCTGAGGTTATGTTCGTGCGCAGGTAGCATTTGCCAAGAGCACTACTATCTAAATAGCGATAGACGGAGAAAATAAAAGCTTAAATTTAAATAGATCATACAGATGGAGTTGACGATTTTTATATTAAATGCCAAACTGTCAGCTGACGCAGCAGTACACATATCTTCTACAAATGTTACCAGAACATTCCCATTTTCGATCTGTGGCTCGACAAATTCTACATGTACTTACACCGCATGCTACGTATAAAATTCGGTACCCAAATTTGCACTGTGGCGCAATGACAATTTAAAACGCGCAATAGGGGAATAACACGTAGACTAGAGATATAATTCACAAATAAGTGGACCTAGCAAGCTGAGTCCAGGGCAAGAAAGTAACTACCGAGAGGTTGTTACTTTACTTCAGACGAAACACAGAGTAGATGTAAAATTTATTTCTCGATCTTGCCCCAAACAATTTACAAAATTGTAAGAAAATCCATTTAATTCTACGATATTGCAGAAGTGTCGTACATTTACCCAAAACACTTGAAGTCGATGTTTTCGTTTGTAAGTTGGCTAAATGAAAGCAGACGATCTGCTCTGCTCATATCTTTCTTATAAAAGGTATACAAGTGTTTATAGATTGTATGGAATAGGCAGAGAGCTTATTCCTGTAACATTTCTTCTAACGGGTCCCATAGTCCCATCGTATGAACGAAATTGAGGCTTCTGAAGGACTTGAATTTCACAAGAAAGTAAACGTGGTGACTGCGAATAACACTCCAGGTCCATTATTCACCGCACAGAGCGATCGAAGCGCCCTCTCTCTCGACGGTGGTGAAAGTAACTAAATCGAAACTCGTTGCTGCTTGCTGCTGCACCGCACGTCGTGCATGTACACACTCCAATGGCGTTCTTGCTGTAAATTTGTTTATCGAAGTAACCGCTCCTATTTTGAGGTAAGGCCCGTACTCCAATTCGATTTATTTCTGTCATTTTAGCCCGACTCCGAACGCTGTTCAGTGTGATGAACCAGTCCAGAGGCTCACCGCATCGTTCAGAAAACGTTGCACGGTTGCACGAAGCGGCGCCGTCGAGTTTTCTTTCCAAATTTTGATCCTAATCGTTGTTTGTTTGGTGTTTCCGTGGAATCGCTGTTTTTAAAATATGTTACTGTAATGTTGTCTTTGACAGACATGGTTTTCTTATTGACCTTTGGTGCCTAGACCTGAAATTACATCAATGCAGTATTGATTAGAATTATCAGATTTATACTGCAATGTAATTTGGCTAGCTATCAGCTGTTTAAACTTCGTTTTAATTCATTTACGTCTGTATCCAGGACCTGTCATGTACAACGGTATTGGTCTAAGTACAGCCCGAGGCTCTGGTACAAATGGTTATGTACAGCGTAACTGGGCTTCTGTACGACCCAAAGAAAAGACAAAGTACAAAACTGAGGAAGATCTAGAAAAGGCAGAAGCTGCTGCCAATAAACAGCCCAACAAGGAAATCCTTGATCATGAGAGGAAAAGGAAAATTGAAGTTCGGTGTGAAGAATTGCGACAAGCACTCGAGGATCAAGGGTGAGATGTTCTATCTACAGTAATCCGCCACTCTCTACTTGTTTGGCCTGTTTTTAAAATATTTTGTCATGTTCGTTCATTTTAGGTACACTTCAGAAGAAATCAATGAGAAAGTAGGCCATTTTCGCAAGCTGCAAACTGATGGAAAGAAGTCCGAAACAAAACGTGACGACCATGGGCGTGTTGAGTAAGTTATCCCCCATACTACTCTAAATAAGTTCTTTGCAAAACCTTTTTATTCTCCTTTCTTGTTATTTTTATAAAATTTTATTTTAAGTAGTGAACGCTAAAAAGTGCTTTAAGAGTTTTTTTTATTTAGTATTTTTGCACCAAGCACTAAATTTACACCCCCACCCCCTCCCCTGCGGGCCCGACCCAGTTCTCCCAAACATTCCCTTGCTGTGACATGGTGGGATTTGTCCCGCCCGTGGTTGGCTGCCATGTGGTGGCGCGTGGGCTTGACCCGGTCTTTGACCCCCAAATCTCGGTTCTTCGTCTTCACCATGCCATGGGGCCACCCTCTAGAGCCTGGGCTGCGAGGCGCTGGGCTTAGGCTGGGCCGCATGGACTCTAGAGGGGACGTGCGACGTGTGGTGTAGTGGCGCTGCGCGTGTGTGCGTGCGCTATCGAACGGGAGGGGCGGGGCAGGGAGAGGGCGGACCGGTTTGTGGAGGCAGGGCAGCCCAGACAGCCCTGGGCACCCTGGGCTCTAGGCCGGTAGGGGTGCGGCACGGCTCAGGCACGGCGGCTGGTGCGGCCCGTCCTGAAGCTGCCTGCTGCCTGCCTGCGAGGCGGCGGCCTGTCGGCGTAGCGCGCGTAGCGGATCGATAGGGGAAGTGGCCACCCCTCCCTACTCCCTACCCCTTCCGCGTGGTGCCGCCGTGCCGCCGTGCCGCCCCAGGCTGCCAAGCGCTACCCCTTTGGCGGGGCCGAGGGGTGCTGCGCGTGCTGCGGGTACGCGAGGGCTACACAATCAAGCACTTATGCAGTGCACGGAGAGTGCCCGGAGTGCACCTGCAGGAAGAGGGGTGGAGGTGAGGTGGAGCGGAGCTTGCGCTGGATGGGGGTGGGAAACGCGGAGGGGTGGTGGCGCCGTGGTGCGGGGCCGCGCCGCCCTGGCCGTCGGGGCGCCACCTTCGCCACCACCCCCTGCCGCCGTGCCGCCCTGCCTTGCAGCCTCTGGGTCCCTGCCTGCGTCCAGGCAGTCGCGATGGGGCGCCGTGCGCTGCGCTGCCCCGCGCTGGGGCGCGCCGGGGCGTTGGCGTCGCGGCCGTAGAGGCGCTAGAGGCGCCCCCTGCCCTGTGCATCGCGTCGCGTCGGTCATGGCGGCCGAACCGTTCGGCCTGCCCGCGCAGGGCCCCGCGCAGGGCCCCGCGCCGCGAATGTGAGCCCCAAGCCGCCTTCCTCGATCACGAGAAAGTCTTCCATGTAGCCTAAGGCCCTAGATCTAAGCTGTAACCAAGTCTTCCATAGTTTTAAGCCGCTAGTTGTTAAGCGACCTGTGTCTTCCAACGTCTCCGCGTCGCGAGATCGGTGGGGATGTACTCGAGGGAGTCGTTGATGAGCGGCGCCCTGGCCGAGGCCGGCGAGGGCGAGCGCGTGCTGTTCGAGCGGATGTGGCGGGGTTCCTTCCACCGGGCCCCTAGGGGTGCGGGCTCCGGGCACAGTCACGGCCACGGACTCGACCTGGCCGATCTCGGCCACCACGCTGCGGGCTACGGGCCGCCTGTAGGGCCGCCCGGCCTCGGGCCCCTCGGGCACGTGTACGCACACACACTCGACGGCTACCGCTGGGTTGGCCGCCCCCACGCGCCCCACGCGCCCACCCCCAACCCCGCCGGCGCCTCCCCCGCCGCCCCGCCGACCAGCATGCACAACCACTGCTGCTGCAACTGCAACTGTGGGGCATCGGGGAAGCTTCAGATTTGCGTGGTGCGCCCCAGGGGCCCGAAGCACCGCTCCAAACATATGCGCTCAGTCGTGAGGTACTACCAAACCCTAGGCCCTGTTTTTGCCCTGTAGAGCTCCTAGACTGCCCCAAATAATTTCTGACTTGTCAGTCTTGCAACGTGCTTTGAGTAAAATCCCAGCATGTACCTTGTACTGACCTCTCCAACTTTGGCTTTGTTGCAGTGTTCGTGAAACCCATGAGATTGCCGAGGCTCAGCAAGAAAAGAATGCCAAGCTAAGAGATGCCTTTGGGATATCAGAGTACTTCATCGAAGGAAGCAGTCTGGATCCACAGCGTCTAGCCAAGGAGCAGGCTGCGAAGGAAGCGGCCAAGGAGGCTGCTAAAGAAGCTGCTGCAACTGACCCAAAGAAATATGCTCTTGTGAGAACACCAAGCCCTGAGGTGGAGAAGCCTGGAAAGAAACGCAAAAGGAAAAATCGGGAGAGGTAATTGAAAATTATCATCTTCTGCCAGAGAAAGAAAATTGGTTCAGAATTTAATTATCTCATGCTCCTTACTACCTTATTTTACAGTTCTTCTAGTCCAGAGCCTAAGAAGAAGAAGAAATCAAAAAAGCATAAAAAGGATAGCAGGTACTGATACTTAAGATTTTTCACGATTTTCTATCCATTTTCAGAGTGTACAAGAATATTAATGTTGATAATTGCAACCATTCAGGTCGGAGTCTCCCAAAAGAAAGAAGAAAGACAAGAAGAAGAGCAAGGATGATAGCAAGAAAAAGAAGAAGAAGAAACATCATTCAGAAAGTGAAGACTCAAGTGACTCAAGTGACGACTCGGATGCCTCAATGTATGAATTTAAATTATGCTTTACTGGAAAACTGGAAGTTTTGGACTATCCACTAATCCCAGTTATGTATTTGCCCACAGCTCCTCCGAGGACATGAAGAAGAAAGAAAAGAAGGATAAGAAGAAATCTAAAGAAAAGAAGAAGTCAAGCAAACATGAGGTAAAGCCATATTTATATTAAGACGGTATCATTGATACCAATTTGTTTCACTTGAAGGGAAAAAAAGAGATTCATCAGTGTGGTTGTTTTCTTTTATGCTCTTTACCAACATGTGGTGTGTTATATATTTGGCATTTGGATTGAAAAACAAGATAAGGGACCAATTTAAAGTAGAATCCATCTCAACCAAAACCAGAAGAATGGTCTCAGCAACCTCAATGCTCATTCATGGAGTATAATGAATCTGCCATCCATGCAATCTGTACAAAGATAATTTTTACTGTCATGCTCTAGAAAGATACTCTTTTGCTGACCATTCATTGCTGAATGTATAACCACCTCTCACCCTGAAACATTTTCTTTAAAGCTGCTGATTGCAGTTGGGGTATGGGGCTTTTCTCACCTTACTATTTTAATACATAGCAATGCTCAGGAAAATATGGTTGGAGATTTGCATGGATTGTTCCAAAACTTGCAAGAAGAGTTTTGGATGCTTATCCTTCACGGATTTAAAAGAAGACTTTTGTCTTCACAAGCCAAGTAACTTTTTATTAGTTGGAACACCTCGCATGCAAGTCCAACCCAACTGCAACTTTTTACTTAGTTTTGAAAGGTCACCTATAGGTGCAAGAGGGTTAGATTTATTCCCACTTTTTCTACTGTATATTTGATGTCAACAAATTTAGGCTCTACACCATATTTGTTGTCAAAACATGCGAACATTTTAGGTTTTAAATCTAGATGATCCTTCTGTAGTGCCTTTTCACTCAAATTTGTGTTCTTTTGGGAATATTAATAGCAGCAAGTTTTTGGACGTTGTCCCAAGGAATATTACAAATAGTAAGTATCTGTGTATCTTAATATTTGCTCAAAATTAACTTTCAACTAGAACTTTTTTTTTCTTAAATTACATTGTGATGATGGTCAACTGTGGTCATGGTAATTCCTCTCTATCAAAATTGGTTCAGAGGAAGTGGATTGTTAGTATTGCACTTGGTCCTTGTCGGTGACCTTGATTGAGGAACTCTTAGCATCAATGTGCTCAAATGTTAGGTTTGATTCTGGTGTCCAACCACACCCCCATTTCAGGATATTTCTTTTCCAATGGTGAAAGACTAAATTAGTGAATTTTGTGTGTAGCATTTTTCTTGATTCATCATTTTATTGGGGCCTTGTTATGATGTGTTTGTACATCCCACAGCAATTGCAACCACTTTCCCTCAAGTCTGTATTGCAGCGGACTACAATTGTGGCCTTTTAATAATGTTTCATTTTTCTCTCATATGTATTTCTTGTATAAGTGCTGCTTTTAGTAAGATGCTTAATATGTTGGCTGTCAATGTTTCTTTGCATGATAAAACTCATTCCTTTGTTGTTTCCTACTTTGCCGAAAGATATAAAAAAAAATTCTTCTTGTTTATATGAACTCACATAGGAGCCCTTTGGCATAAGTAAGTACTCGCTAGAAAACCAACAAACATTGCAAATACTGGTGAAAGTGATCTTTAATTGCAAAATTGTTGTTACTGCACTGGTTCAAGCATTTTATTTTTGTTATGCATTTTTTTTAAACTAATATTATGTTAGCCTTCTATAGTCAAAGTTCTGGAACAAACCCTTCAGTTCAATTTTGTTACTTCATCCACTCATTGCTTTAATGAAAATGACACCCTTTTCAGTGAAAAGATTGCAGTATTTGCATTCTGATTGTTCCAGCACTTTGTACCAGACCTGTTGCATGTTAATGTTCAATCCCAATCAATGTAGCATTATAAGTCTTACTGGATGTGTCTCATGCATAGTTTCTTGTTTTTTTGCCTTTACAAGCACATTGTTTTTTATTTTTCTTGGTTGCAAAACTAGTGCTTTTTTTCTACACTGTCTTGGGCAAGAACTAAATTTGTAAAGTTTCCATGTGGCTTGAGTTCACTGTGACTTTGTCATAGTTGACTACAGACGATTTCTACTTAAAGCTTCCAAAGTAAGATGCTATTACACATTCGCCATCACTCATTGCTATTTGTTATTTTTAAACTGTATGGAAATATGAGATGCCACATTATTTCCTCTTTCTCTAAACCTTCATTCAGTTTTCCGCCCAATGCCAATATTGCGCCTCTTTGTGTTATGAAATAATTTTATTTAGGAAACTTAAGGTGTTCATTTGTTTTTCAAACTTTGTATTTTGAAGTGTTTCTATTGTGATATTATGCTACAAAATTTGAAGAGGGCTTTGTGTAAGAGTGTTGTGTACTGGCTTGGTAGTAGCTGTTTCAGCCATTTCCTTTTTAAGAAAATATTTCAATTAATATAAGGATGATGCCTTGGCCTCACTTTCAGCTGACCTCAAGATTTTTGAAGTCAGTTGGAAGAGTCCAAGAAATGTATCTTATCTGATTATGCCTGAGAGATCAACACCTACCCAGAGCGTGTCTCTTTGCTTCAAGTTAGGAAGAAAAAAACTCTTCCTGAAGCTAGCGCTGGAGGAGCTGGCCCTGGGTTAGGTTTTGGTTTCGGTGTGTTTGCAGTGAAAATCGTAATCCTGTTAAAGTACAGTAACTTTTCTGTGAAGTTACTGGTATGAGTATTATTATTCAGTTTAGATCTACTTTTACACTTTTCCCGTCTTAAATTATGCTTTCAGTGAAGCACCTCACGAAAAAAAAGTATGAATCAGTTTTATGGAATTTATCGGAAGTGTTAGAAGAAAACAGAGACTGCACCCTATTTGGCTGGTTTGAAGGTAATCGTACCAAACTAATGTTTCCTTTGCTTTTCCTTTTCTGCCTTCAGAAGAAACGGGAATCAAAGAAAAAGCACCATGCATCATCAGACAGCGATTCAGATGAGTGAGTTTTCACCCCTTAAGTGCCATGCCATGGCCGCACCTTGCACAGACAATCCTCACTTTCTGACTAACCTTCGTCTTTTAACTACTAATTGCAGGGAAAAGGACCACCATTCAAGAAAACTTAAGACAGATGACTCCTCCCGTAAGAAGGACAAGAAAGAAGATAAGAAGAAAAATGATAGCAGTAAGAAGAAAGAAGATTTAAATGAAACGAATAGAGAGCATGAGAGGCGCAATGATACTCGATCCAAGCGTAACCATGAGGAGAACAAGGAGGACAACCGCATGAGACATGGTGACAAACACAAAAGAAGCAGAAGAAATTCAGAAAATGAGAATGAAAATGAATCGATGGATAGAGAAAAGAAGTCCAGAAAAAAGTCTCGAAGCCCTAGTGAAACCCGTTTGAAGCAGCGTCCTGGGTCCAAAGATGTAAAACAAACCGAGTCAGGCCGAAAAAGGCCACATGAAGAGAAGCGCAAAAACACGAAAGATGACTCAGACAACGAAAGAGCAAAGAAGCGCTCCAAGAGGCATGCAGCCAGCAGCTCCTCTGATGACAGCAGCAGTTCAGATGAGGAAGAGGAGCTGAAGCGGAAGAGAGGCAAGGAGAAGGACTTGAGGAAAGACAGGGACAGGCCCATGAAGGGCAAGGAGCCCGAGAGCAGACCCGAGCCCACTGCTCGAAGAAGCCGCTCGCCGCCGCCCCACGCGGACAGGGACAAGGAGAAGGACCAGCGCCACGGCCGGGAGGCTCTCCGTCGGCCCTCACCTCGCCGATCACCGGCCAGGAGGTCGCCCGCTCGCAGGCCCTCGCCTCCCGCGCGCCGCCAGTCGCCGCGCCGCGGGTCCAGGCACTCGCCGACCAGGTCGGCCTCCAGGAGGTCCCCGGCAAGGAGGTCGCCCCGCCGTTCGCCCCGTCGCTCGCCGCGCAGGCCGTCCCCTCGCTCCGTGCGCTCGCCGCCGCGAAGAGGGTCCCCGCGGAGAGCGTCGCCGCGCAGAGCATCCCCGCGAAGAGGGTCCCCGCGGCGGGACCGCGACCGGTCTCCGCGCAGGTCGGCGTCGCCTCGGGCGTCGCGCTCCAGAGGCAAGCAGTACCGAAGGCAGTCCCGCAGCGCCAGCCGCAGCGGCAGTCGGGGTAGGGGCAGGTCCAGGGACAGGTCCAGGGACAGGTCCAGGGACAGGTCCAGGGGCAGGTCCAGGGACAGGTCCAGGGGCAGGTCCAGGGACAGGTCCAGGGACAGGTCCAGGGACAGGTCCAGGGACAGGTCCAGGGACAAGTCCAGGGACAGGTCCAAGGGCGGTCGCAACGCGCGCGGCAGAAGCTCCTCGCGCAGCCTGAGCTACTCCCCCGTGCGCAAGTACCCCGAGCGGTACAGGGACATCCTGGAGGGCAAGCCGCGCCAGGACCGCCAGGACCGCGACGACAAGAAGGAGAAGGCCGTGTCCGTCAACACCAAGGTGGTGCCCAGGGTGAACCTTCGGGACTCTGGCAGCGAGTCCGACTCGGACTCGAGTGACTCGGACGTGGGCGCCGCCATGGTGAAGAAGGGCCTGGACAAGGACCTGCAGGCCCTCAACATCCTCAAGTCGGGCCTGGCCGCCAAGGCCAAGGAGGCCATCGAGAAGAAGATGCCCAAGCCAATGCCGCCCGCCTCCACACCTGCCGCTCTGGCGCGGCCGGATTCCCCCGGGAAGAAGGAGCGAGTAGAGAGGATGCTGGCGGCGGTGGGCGTGACGCCCGGCGTGACGCCCGGCGTGACGCCGGTCTCCGAGATCTCCCTCCCGGAGAAGCCCAAGCCCCCCAAGCTCAAAATCAAGCCCGACCCAGATGCGGAGGAGAGGCCACCCGTGGTGCAGGTGGTGCAGGCGGCGGCAGTGCAGGCAGTGCAGCTTCCCAAGACGAAGCCCTTCCAACTCAAGGACACCAAGAAGCTGGCCCTGTTCGGTCCCAACAAGCAGCCCCTGGGCCTGGCGTCCAAGAGTCCCGAGCGTCCCGAGGCTGTGAGCAGGCCACTTCCCTCCCCACCCAAGGCGCCACCCAAGGTGGCTCCATCCATTGCTACTCCTGCCGAGAGTGGCCCGACTCCAAACGCTTCCGACGTACCTGTAGCCGCACCTACTACGAATGGATCCGCACAGCGGGCTAGGGTCAAGAGGTCATCATCTAGCAGTAGTGGACACAAGTCAAGAAGTAGTTCAGAATCATCATCAGCGTAAGTACTAACATTTCCTTGTGACTGCAATCCCTCTGAATAAGATGGATCAGCTGTTTTTTAAAATTTCTTTGTTCTCTCTCAGTTCTTCAGGAAAGTCACACAGTCGAAGTGGCTCATCATCCTCTAGTAGTAAATCGAGATCTCCATCCCACAGCAGATCTCGCTCTTCAAAGTCTCGATCTCCATCTGCTAAGTCTCATTCCCGGAGATCACGATCTAGAAGTAGGTCCCATTCCAGGAGTCATTCAAGATCTCATAGCAGGCATTCTTCCAGCAGCAGGTGTGTGATTTGTTTCTAACGAAAATTATGCCCTTAAGAATATATTAAATAAGTTCATTATTGTTTCATTTGTTGTAGGAGTGGAAGTCGCAGTGGAAGTGGAAGTAGCCATAGTAGCCGTGGAAGTGCAAGACGAAATGGCACTAAGGACAGGAAGTCTCGCTCCCCCTCTATTCCTAGGCGCCATGGCTCCCCAAGTTTCTTAGACAGACGACGTATAACAAGGTAATAACTAATTTTTGCTAAATTGTTCACCTGTCAGAAAATCCGAATTTAAATTTTTTCTTAGCATTTTCTTTACTTTTGCTGAATTGCTTTAGTCTTATTTTATTTTGCTGTGTGAAAACCTGTATATCTGTAGCTGAAATCACAATCACAAGTTTGTTTTACTGTTTTCTTATCAAATATTAGTCAGTACCTTATTTTATTTTTTTAGTATAAATATTCCTTGATTGGAAAGTTCATTGTAAGCAAAGAACTGCTTTGCATGTGAACACCTGTGCACAGTGTTATTTATTTTGTTTTGTTCCTCATTTATTTCTGTTTTATTTACATTTTCTTTGATCCCCACTCACAGTAAAACTGCAAGCAAAGTGAAATCTGAGCCCCGTCCCAGATCAAGTTCGGCATCCTCCAGCAGCTCAGGGGGCTGAAGCAGTCTGCCCTATGGCCAATCCCCCCTCCTTTTTCGCCCAAAAATGCAAGCCGTATTCTCAGAAGCTTGACATCAGATTGGAAGTTTGCTCTCAAAGCTGCAAAACTGTCAGTTCATGAACTGCCAGAAATGCATTTGATTGTTTACCCTCAGCTTTATTTGAAGATTGTGTAGGTCTATCAGACTAGTCCTTCAGTAGATGCTCTTTACTGCCCCCCTTCCCCCCCTCCCCCTCCTTTTCCCATACAAATGAATAAGTCAATCAACTGGTTATCTAACTATCAATGAAACCAGACTCCTTTGACTGTGACTGTGGCTGATTATTTTTCATCAACCCCTCCTCCATTTGCCTCAAGTTTGGCATGGTTTCTTAATATTATTTTTGTTTTGTAGACGTATTATACTTGTAGACGCTTTGTGTATAATTTAGTGTTGTGACAGTATGTCACAGGAGATGAAATGTTGACTCAGCGTGACCTGTGTGATGTGATTTGTGAAGGAGATTACAAACTCTTTTTCCCTGTTGTGATTAACTTCTTTCATCTATTTTATGAAGAAGACTGAACAGTAATTTTTAAGATAAACGGGAAATCTTATCTTAAGGGAATCTGTAAACAAATTACAGTTGCGAACTTACAATCTTGCAACGTAACCATCCACCCTTTTTAGGGTTTTGGATGAGGCAAGTCATTAGTTACTGCATTTTGCCACAAGATTTGATCTAGTTTTATTATTACTATTGCAAAATTGACTTTGTTAATAGACATTGGTTTTCATCTGAATTTCATTTTTCATTGACACCATCCATTAATGTGAAACATCCAACTCAATTGTAATACTCTTTCAACTTTCATTTAATTACTATCTATGAGCTCAAAGTTTGTTATGCTGTTTTTTTGTTGTTTTTTTTTTCAAATTCTTTTGGATGTAAATTGTCTTTTAATTACTATGTAATTGCTTTCTTTAATTTTATCTTCATATACATGTGGATTGGCAGATCCCTGTCTGGTAATTTGACAAAGTACATAGTACTTATTGCAAAGTAACAGTTGTGTGGCAGATAAGTTCAATTCTTATTCTAGATGAAGTTAAATTCTCTCCATTAAATTTAGAATTACTGTATTTTTCAATCCATTGTATGATGCAACGATAGTTTTCTTGGTAACTTGAGGCTTGCCAAATGAATTAAAATTACATGGATTAACCTTTCTTAAAAGTCATGAGATGTATTCAGTCTGAATGTTAAGCTAAATTAAATGGTTAAGAGAAACAACTCCTATGACTTTTGAAATGTTTTTGGTGAAACCCCTCACTTACTCACATTTTCCAACTATGCTTCTAACATTTCACCCTCTAAAGTTGGGAATGGAATCCATAGGTGAGTACACACACAGCTAAATTAGCATGTTAGAGATTGTAAGCTTGAACTAGCACAATTTATGGCCAAGTGAGCAGAACGTCTTTTGCAATAGATTCGAAACATGCTTGTTTGCACAATTTTATTTTGTAGTAATTTGCCCATATGTATAGAGCAGCTTTGTAGGAATTTATTCAAAACCAATAACTAATGGAAAAGAACAAACTTAACAATTTTTAGTTCTATATAGGAATCTATTTGTTCATGCTATTTTCCATTGTGCCAACAGTGCCCGCAAACGTCCAATACCATATCAACGTTCTAGCCCACTGGGCAGTGGAAGTGACTCAGATGATGATAGTGATAGCCGTAGCTCACGGTGGTCTGGAGGAAGCCGTAATGGAAGCAATGTAACCACACAACGCTAACACAATAAATTTTAGGCAGAAAATCAAGCTACGCTTCTTAATGTTGTGTTCTTGCAACGCTTGTGAATGGGAGGAGTAGTGGCTGAAGATTGTTTGTTGAGGAAGTTTCAATCAAAAGTTATTACATTGTCTCCTCTTGCATAGAAAAATTGAGTACAAATCAGAGTCTTCATATGTTTTGCCAAAGGTTTGATCTGACATCTAGCAGTAATAATGTGGCAAAGTTGGAATGATTAAGTCTCATGTTATGTGACGTGTTTCATATTATCGATATTATGCTTTTTAAAGAGCTTATTGTGCTGAAATTATGTGATACATAAAGAACCTGTAAATTATCAGGAAAGTCCAAAGAATTTCTAGTGTAAAAAAGATGACAAAAATCAAGCTGCCTCTCTTGGGGGACAAATTCATTGCAAAGGGTGCAATTCTTGCTCCTAAATTAAGCCTATCTTATTACTTATTGAACTGTTATTTATGTGAGTTACCAAAGAAACAGACGAAGCCATTAACAACTGGTTTCAAAGGTTTCCTTAACTTTACTAATTTTTAAGATTAAAATATGTTGGTGGAAAAACTTCTTCTCATGGCAGATGGATTTTGAACTGTGTTAGTCAAATGAATTATGTAAGTGGGTACCACATCCTCATTCCAGAAGGACGATTTATGAAAAAATTAGGGTCCCTCAGACCAAGGTTGTCTGGATTCTGAAGGGAGCTACTGTATCCTGAAAATATGTAGCGTGTTTGACAACACCTTCTGAAGGCTGAAGATCTTTCAAGAATGCATCTAAGGAAACGAAAATTTGAACAAGTTTATGGGCACATTATTGCTGGAGAGAATTAGGTGCATTTACTGTTTGTTTTTTAATTTAAGTGTTGTTTTTAGGTTTTTTTTTCTTGTACTTGTTTATGAATAATGCTCTAGTCAGATCTCTTCTTTATAATTTTAAGAAAAAAGATTGTTTGGTTTACAGTGTATTGTAGGAATAATTGCCTAAAATTTGATGTTTTGTTAATGTGTTCTAGTCTTTAATTGTGATATTTTTGCCTTTTACTTATTTATTGAAAGCTATTTATTGGCATAAAGAATTTGCGTCACATGGGAAATTGAGGAAATTAACTGAATTGGTGACAATACATTTAGAATGTAGAAGTTGTGAAGGAAATGGAGTAGATAAAATGGAAATAGTTTTGAATTTCTTACCTATTCTACATTTCTGCAAAGTGCAGCTGAACACCAACATTAAAGCACAGATCTAATAACAAGCAAATTTTTCATTTCTACCCTATCATTCATTGACTTAAAAGGCACAAAGTCATCACTAACATACAAAGGTTGCAAAAGCACCAGTAAATGCATCAACAGAGTATAATTGTTCATCAGAATCCAAAATTGGCATCTTCAGACATCAAGTGTGGTTCATAGGCAATGGTTCTTGGAACCACATGGTCAGAAAGTGCTGACCACATTAGAGTAACAATGACATTCAACAAAATTACCACAGCAAAACAATATAAAATAGTACTATAAAAGATAATGTGAGTATAAGAATATAACAAATATGTGACCCCCTCTCTTCCCCCAGTTACAAGTTTAACTAATTTCGCCCAAAATAATTGGCAATTTTGAGGCATACATACAGTACCATCTACAAACCGGGTCGAGATCCTCCCTTGGCTCCACCCCCTCTCCTTTCAGATGCCTTCCTCCTCTTAGTGGCAAGGTAGATGCTCCAAACAAAGCCAACAAGGTTCATGAAGACCACTCGTAGCTAGTGCAAGAAAAGACACATCACATAAATTATAAAATAAATAGAGAGGACAAATTCATTAAATTGATGAGGACCCTTACAACAGGAGGTACAACTGTGAGGTTGATGATGCTGAGAGCAGTAAGCCACTTCCAATTGGCGATAAGGACTGGTACATAAATTGGTATAAGCTGCTGTACAGCTTGACGGTGAGTCCGTCCCTGACCAGATCAAAAGACATGTCAAATAGCGGAGCAGAATAACAGACAAGGTCTTAATAAATTTAAATTATTAGCAAATTATACCTCAAACCGAGAAATGGTGTACAAGGTGAACAATTGGTAAAGTGGTGTAAAAATTAATCTTTGAATCAACAATTGTTTTACGGTGGCCAACGCAGACTTTCCAGGTACTAGCCACTCAAGACATTGGAAGAAATAATGAGGAATAGACCCTCCAAAGAGTAAACTGAAAAAAAAAATAACAGGATACAGCAGATGATTAAATTACCATAATAAGGAAAGAAAGCACCACTTTAAGTTGAAAACGTCAACGTCATAAACATACCCATAGGCACCAAAGGATAAAAGGCTGTTTAATTCTGTGACTTTGGCTCCAGAAATACGTTGAGATGTATAATTGCCCAAGACATAGATGATAGCGCTAAAGATTAAGAATTATGAGACTGTGACAATAGGAGCGACAATCCATTTAAACACATTCACTTACCTGGTCACAGATTTAGTGCGCAAAGGGTTAGTGTAAAGCTGTATAAAATATGATTCCAAAGATTTGTAGGCGACCCTTTTTGCTGACTTAGAGAGAGACATTTTGGGAGGGACAGCACTCAGCACAACCTATCCAGTGACACACAGGAAAAATAAAATTTAGAGAAAAATTTGATATGATTTAAGCAGTGTGATATATTTTCCAGAAGATAAACATATTTTAATTCGTTTGACACAAAGCATAATGAGAGGAAATTGAAGATGTTTCGACACCTGACGGTAGAAAGACAACCTGTTGCTATCTGCTAGTGGAATTACTCAACAAAAATATTTTGGTGTCCAAAGAGCGATCTTGTTCGGGTGCGTTCTAGAAACGTTGAAGTTGCGTTAAGGCCACTGAAATAAAAACAGCTGTGTTTTGGGTTTTGGTACACCAGACCGTATAATTGAACTGAAATCGAAACCGAGAAACAGGTCTCGGTAGCTACTTTATCATAGAGAAAGAAGTTCAGCTGGTCAGATTTAAATGACCAAGCCGGCTCACCGGCGCAGTACAGTGGAACCGCCGAGAGAGGAGTAGGGCTGCCCATAAGAAACAGGCAGAGAGGCCTACTAAACTCACGGGAGGAGGAGAATAACCTTAAATCCATCCATTCAACCCATTCAACTTCCAAACTAACTTCAACTTCAGATCAGCTGATAATCGCTCGGGGGGCGTAGTGGCTTGCTGTTCATCTCTCTCTCCACTCATTTTACCTCATTCACCTGTCAGTCGACGATGGCGCAGATTCACGAAGTTAAAAATTTTCAAGATTTTGAGAATGTAATAGCTTCTTTGGCAGACTTAAAGGTACCAGTGTTTGCTGAATTTTATGGTGCTCATGACAGCTCTGGTAAAAGTTGGTGTCCAGACTGTGTCAAAGGTATGTGCAAAGTTCAAAGTTCACCTAATGTTCGGCCGTTCCATGTAATTTTTAAAGGAATCAATGTAATTGTTTGTGTTATCTAGCTGAACCAGTCGTGGAGAAAGTTATGAAGACAAGTGCGCCTGGAGATGCCCATTTTCTTCATGTATCTGTCGGAGAGAAAGCAGAGTAAGTATTAGCTCCCCCTGTTTTCTAGATCTTTTCCACCCAATTTTATCTATTCCGCTTCTTCTGAAGGTGGCGAGACCCTGGCTGTCCCTTCAGAACTGACTCCCGTTTGAAGCTGACTTGTATTCCAACTTTAATGCAGTGGGGAACATCTCGCAAATTACTTGAAGAGGACTGTGCCGATGAAAAAAAAGTTCTTGAATTTATTTCAAACTAGACTGCTTTGAACTGCAGCTGGTCTTTGTCTATGAAAATGTATATTGTGATTACTGGTAATGTCTTTGTGTGTCTGTTTCTGAAATAATTGAAAGGAAAGAACTAGAATTACAGGGTTTTTTTACATGTGTATTTTTAATTAATTATCACATTTATCTATGTCTAGTTACACACTGGTTTTGTACAAGTATGTAATACTGAATATAGCATTTTATTATCCCTCTGATTATCACTTTATGAAATTGAGCTGGTCTGTGACTCTTTCGGTCATAAAAATAAAATTATGTTCACTGATCAATAGTAGTCTTTTCTCTTTCTCCACCACAACAGGAAACCAAAGGAAACTCGCATTTTACATGTAGAAGCTTACAAAATTGCACTAATCTAAGTGGCAGAGGAAATGCCTCTATTCGCTAGCCACTGAAACAATGTTGAACCGACCATTCAGAATCTGGGCGGCATGCGGCATCCTGCCTCCATAGAGACAATGACAATATGTCTCCATGCTTCGCGCGGCCGATACTCTCACGGTCATGTTTTTGGCTGTAAGTTCAGTCTCTGCAGGTACACGTATTGAAACATAAATCAACTCAATCGCGATTGTTTTGAGCAACAACAAAAAAGGAACGAAAGCCGTATCGCCCAAGCTGAACAGCACAGATGAGTATGAGCCCAGCGGCGCCCGTGGCAGGCATCCCTCGTTCAAGTCTCTGGAGGCGAAAGTAAAAGTCCTGCGATGCAACGGCCGGATGTCGATGCACTCCGTTGGCGTTGGCATTCCCTAACACAGGGCGTCGCAGGGCGAGGGCGCCCTCAGACGTTTTCGTCGCTCTCTCTCTCGCACTCATGGGGCGAGGGGCGTTCCCGATGGGTGCGAGAGAGACAGAGCGACGAAAACGATCCTCGGAATCAGTCTGCATGCAGGCGGGACTGACCTCCTTTGCGGGCTTCCCTGCGCCTGGGAGCGCGATGACGTCACGCTGACGTCATGACGCCCTGCAAGCGCGTAAGCATTGCTACTCCCCAGTTACAGTTAGTTACTATCACAACGACGACAAAAGAGTCGACTCGTCACTACTCCCAGCACGAGGGGCTTTCGGGGGTGGGGTATTGACGAAGTGAGTGAGTGGAAGCACTACCACGGACACTCGAAACGAGTCCTCTACGCCCCGTGCAAGGCGCTCTTCTGAAGGAGTTTCCCGCGCGTGGGGTGGCGATCGCTCGATTCGTTGGTGGTAATTGAGTACCAATAGCCGCACACGAAATGACCCCGTCTGTACCCCTTGCGCAAGAGACCAGCATTGAAAGTCACTTGGGCACGGAGTACCGCCGGGGCGTTTTCTACCGAGGGCTGTGGTGACTACATGAAGAAGAGGACGGTCCTGCCGCCTCGCGCCCGGCAGCCCGCCGCCCCCGCCGCCATCACGGCCAGGACGGCGAGCAGCGTGGCCAGGTGTCAGCCCGCCGTCTGCACGAGCCGCGCGTCGCTGAGCTCGCCCCTGAAGCGCGTGTCCTCGACGCCGTCGTCGCCGTCCTCGCCGTCGCACGACAGCGGCGGGGCCATGCCGATGGAGTAGTGCAGCTTCTTGCTCCGCAGGTAGCTGTACGTGTTGTCGAACACCACCGTGTCTGCGAGGAGGAGAGAGCGGTTAGCCGGGGGAGTGGACCACGCCAACGCGCACGCCAAGGCGATACTCCGCGCCGAAGGGACTTCCGCGGCCGTCTGCGGGGGCAGTCCCTTTGCGCGTGGGGTATCGCCGGGCTCGTTCCTTTGGAGAGCGACTGTACCAGACCGCACTTACACGTCCCCGGCGCCGGGCAGGTGATGAAGCCCACCTCCTCGGCCTCGTGGGAGCCGACGCGCTTGAGCGGCACCAGCGTGCTGCAGTTGCCGTCCGCGTCCTTCATCGTCACGGAGAAGCGGATGTCGTGGCCCTCGGTGCGGAACTCCCACCTGGAGGGAACCAAGTTAGAACCAAGCGGCCAATGGGTCACGTGGACGCGGCAGCGGCCAGACAGACAGACAGACAGACGGGCAGACAGACAGACGGGCAGACAGACAGACAGACAGACGGGCAGACAGACAGACAGACAGACAGACAGCTAATGGTGACAACACTGACTTGAGGAAGGTGCCGGTTTGCGCCGCGATGTAGTCCAACTTGAGCTTGCCGCCCTTCTTGACGACGGCCGTCTCCACGGTGCTCTGGTCGTTGCGCCGCTCGACGTCCTGCTTCTGGAAGTACTCCTTGGGCACTTTCCCGCCCTGCTTGATCTGCAAGGCGAAGGGGGAGACGTCAGTATAAATTCACCCTCCCGCGATGCTCCAGAGTCGGAGATGTGGTTGCCAACCTGTCAGCCAGCCTGCCAGGCAATATCTAGGTGCTCTCGAGACGTTGCGTAACAGCAGGCTCAGATTGGCAACCCTTACAGCCCTGGTGCATCATGAACCATTTTTGTGGCGACGCTGCACAGTGGGCGAGAAGAGAAGACCGGTGGGGGCGGCCAAAATCCCGGACACGTTTTGAGCTCCAGAGTCGCTAAATGGGACTCGAACCGAACCTGTGACCCCACCAATAGATTGCTCTCCGAACGGGGAATCCATTGGTGGGGTCACACGTCCGGTTCGAGTCCCATTTAGCGACTCTGGAGCTCAAAACGCGTCTGGAATTTTGGCCGCTTGCGCCGGTCTTCTGGGCCCACTGTGCACTGGTTTCCGCTCGCGGGGCTTGGGCGGGGCTTGGGCGTACCTTGGCGGAGCAGTGCGCGTCCCCGGAGGCGTCCTCCATGGTGCCGCCGAAGTAGCGCGGCAGCTGGTCCGCGGGGATGTTCTGCAGCAGGCTGGCCTGCCACTTGGCCGGGTCCGCCTTGTAGATGTGGATCTTGCTCTGGGTGTAGTCGTTGAGGAAGTTCTTGACCACCGACCAGGCGATGGAGAACACTCGCGGAGCTGCGCACAAGGCGACGGCATTGAGCAACGCTTTAACGAGAGCAGCGAGAATGGCCGTGTTCTGCGGTTTTTGCCGGGAGTTTGCCGAGTGAAAGGTTCGTCCACGCAAATCCAATTACAAGTATACAAACAGCCGGCAGCGCACTGTTTCCTGCACGCCGCCGGGCGAGCCGCCGGGTACCCACCGTTAATGATATAGCAGTTCTTCAGGATCTCCGGGTAGTTTGCTTCATACATTTGCAGTAGACTAACGACGACATCACCGGCTGCACGAAAGAGAAACCAATTTGAAAGAGTGGCGCAATTTCAGAAGGAAAAAAAAGCTTTCCGATCGAAATTACGCAGGAATGGCGCAAAATGGCTCGCACAGAATGTTAAAAAGCTCATTACAAAAACGGACGAACCTGGTCTCCAGGCCCACTGGCGCAGGTTGAAGTTGGCCATGTCGATGATGGTGACGACGCCGAGGGCGCCCTCGCCGTGCTGCTTGGCCTGCTGCCTGCCCAGGAACAAGTAGGTCTCCATCTGCTTCACCGTCATCTGGATGAACTCGCGCTTGGATACGGAGTTGAGGATGCCGAAGATGTCGAGGCCGGCGAACGGCACCACGACCACGGGCGACCCCTCCGCGTCGTAGCCCGACAGCCCGCTCGGGTAGTACTTGTCCAGCACTTCGGGCGGCTGCCACTCCAGCAGGGCGTCCACCTGGTACTTCTCCCGCCATCGCAGGGACTGCGGGCAGACGGCAAACACAATGCAGGTGGACTAGGTCCATCGGTCGGAGTTCGAAATCGCTTTCGCGGAACGGGCGCGGTCGGTGCACCCAAAAAAATGACTTCTTTGATCAAGAAAAATTTAACTTTTCTTGGTTTTTGCAAGAAAACTTTTCTTAATCCATTTTTTTTCTTGAATAAAGAAAATTTTTCTTGTGTGAAGATTATTTTTCTTACAAAAAACCAAGAAAATCAAAAATTAAGAAACCATTTTTTTGGGTGTGGGCCTGCGCAGGCCCTGGCGCCTGCAAAGCGGCGGGTAGGCAACCCGAAGGCCCGAACGCACCGGTGCGACGCGGCCGAGTGGTTGCCTACCCGCCGCGTCGCAGGCGCTTCGGCAGAAGCGCGGACCGAACCGGTTATTCTTGATAGTCTATTTCTTTCCGATTCGCTAACCGAGTTACGACTTGAGGCCAATTTGCCGAACGAACACGTTCCGCGGCTCCGCGGCGTGGACGGGGCGCGGGGCGGAGGCTCCCTTACAGTGCCGGTCACGTGGGCAGCCAATCCCGACCGCGAGCGGGATGAACATTCATCGAAAACACAAAGCGCGCGTGTTTCCACGACTTTGTTTATTTGCACCAGCCAACACCGTTTATGCAACTACACTGCAAACCTAACTGTCTACTAAGTACACACTTACAAAGGCATGCTTGCAAGTACACACTTACAAACGCATGCTTGGCCAAGTACACACTTACAAATGCATGCTTGCAAGTACACACTTACAAACGCATGCTTGGCCAAGTACACACTTACAAATGCATGCTTGCAAGTACACACTTACAAACGCATGCTTGACGCCGTATAACTCCATGCGTCAAGCATGCGTTTGTAAGTGTGTACTTGCAAGCATGCATTTGTAAGTGTGTACTTAGTAGACAGTTAGGTTTGTAGTGTAGTTCTGACTGTCAATGGGGTTTAAAAACTTGATTTGAATGATTTTAGGCGGAAAGCAGACGACGCGACGAAAGCATCTTCGAAAGCCAGACTTACATCTCGCATCATCTTCTCGGCCGCGGCCGCGTCCCAGTTCCGAGCTGAAACCGAAAAACGTTGGAGGTTAGCCGCTTGTAGAAAACGCCGCGGCGCCGGGGATCGAACGTGGAACTTTGGCGCGCTCACCTCGCAGCCAGCGCAGCAGGTAGTGGTCGTCGTGGTGGGGCTGCAGCACGTCGGCCATGCTGCGCCGGAACTGGGGAAAGAAAGGAAGAGTTGGAGTGAATGGAGGTGCTTTGGTGTTTACATTGCTAGAAATGGAGCGCGGGAGGCCCGTGGGTCATTGTGGCGTGACCAAGCTCCCGGTGTAACAGGTGTCCATGAAGGCGCCACTGAGCTCTAAGGTTTCTTGGGCGAACAAGGAAAGGGTCAGCGCCTCATGTTTGTTGCAGTGGCTCGCTCAAACGCTGAAGGCTTGCTCATGGCTGAAGCCTAGAAGGCGCTGATGATGATGAGGGAAGGCGGCTCCAATGACGCAACTTGTACTTATGCGAGGTGCCTCTAGAGTAGGTTAACCTGTTGAACGACATGCAGCACGTCATCAAACTGCGCCGCCGCCCTGGACGTGCCGGCCGGTGCAGGGCAGTGCGGGCAGGGCGCCCCGGCACTCCGCCTCGCCGGCAAGATGGAGGCCAGCTCGGCTCGCACCCCCGCATTAGGAACAAAACCGCAGCCTTTCCAGCAGGAAATGTATTAACGCCGCAGACATGACCAGCGCAGCAGCGCACAGTGGGCCAGAAGACCGGCGGAGGCGGCCACAACTCTAGACGCGTTTTGAGCTCCAGAGTCGCTAAATGAGACTCGAATCGAACGTGTGACCCCACCAACGGATTGCTCTCCGAACGAGGAATCCATTGGTGGGGTCACACGTTCAGTTCGAGTCCTGTTTAGCGACTCTGGAGCTCAAAACGCGTCTAGAGTTTTGGCCGCCTCCGCCGGTCTTCTGGCCCACTGTGCAGCGCGCGCAACACAGCGCAGCGCGCGGCGGTAGGCTCACTGTCTCCCTCTCTCGCGCGCATGCGGCGTCTCGAAGGGGAGCGAAGGGGAGCGAGAGAGGCAGAGCGACGGCGCTCCGTTCGGGGTCCGCCCGCGCCCGCTGCATCCCCACGGGGCACGACGGCGCGACCGGCGGCTGTCTCTCTCGCACCCGTGCGGCCGTACGGCGCGCCCCGCGAGTGCGAGAGAGACAGCGACTGTGAGCCTGCAGGCCTGCAGGGCGCGGGGAACGGGTTTCAAGTGCGCGCTGTAGAATTACAGAGCGCTCGGCTGCACCTTTCCTTGGCGGGCCCGGCCAGCGCGGCCCGGCCAGCGCGCCAACGGCAGCCAACGGCCAGTAGTCACTTGGGGAGAAAACTTGCGTTAGGTCCACTGCTGGCGCGGCGGGCGCTGCACGTCTCGCCGCGTCTTGCTCCGTGCGGCCTGGCTGGAGTCTGCGTGCACGGACGAGTGTGTGTGTGTGTGTTTTACTGTTTTTTTCGACGTCGAAGTGAGAGTGATGGGTTATCCACTATGGGAATCGTCGGTTATGAATGGACTCCTGGGACTCTGACTGGAATCCTTGTTGGGAACCGCACGACTGTGGTGTTTTACCTCCTTGACACTGGTAGGCGTGTGAGTGGGCGGACAAGCCCAGCGTGTGAGAGTGAGAGAGAGAGAGAGAGAGAGAGAGAGAGAGAGAGAGAGAGAGAGAGAGAGAGAGAGATGCATATCGCCAACCTTTTCGCCTCCTATTAGCCAATACCTGTCATTATCGCGCCCGGCTGAGTCGTTGCGTCAGAAATCGCCGCATAAGGTTGTTGACAAAGTGTGATGTATAGTTCGGTTCGGCCGCGGATTATGTTGGGAGTTTGGCGCGCGTGAGTGTGTGTGTGGTGTGTATGTGTGTAGAGTATATCCGCCGGCTTGCAGCATGAGATGACTGATTTGAGTCGCCAAGTTGCCGCTAGGCGGAAGCTGGGGAGTATTCATCAGGCCGATGCCCTGGACTCGCTGTCAGCCCAGCAGGTACGTGAGTGGGGAAAGGGGGAGGGGTTACTCTCCAGCTGTACCACACACAGACTAACAAACGATCAAATGCGCCATCAACCTGACCTAACCTGACCTGATCGAACCTAACCTCCCCGTGACACTTCGACAGGGGAACCAGCAGCACGTTGAAGTTGCTACCGACTCACGCTCGGTGCGATTACGTATCTGGCGCGTGCCTTGGTTGCATTTGACTGCACGTGCCTTGGTTGCATTTGACTGCGCGTCCGCGAGCGATTAGGGACAGTGCGGTTTTTGTTTTTAACGAGGCGAGGGACGCTGTAGCAGTGCAGCAGTGTTGCAGAGGTGCAGATTACGACGGACTCGTCGGCGGCGGTTCGCTGCAGTCGCTGCAGTCGCCGGCAAAGGGAAAAACATCTTAATGACCGTGCTGGATGGCACTGGTACGTGTACGCAATAAAGTCAAGTCCTGCGCGCCCGGACGAAAAAAAAAATGAAGCGGCAGTTAAAACTTTAACGCCGTCTTCGCTGGCTCTGTCTTCAAAAAAAAATGGGAGCGTGCATTGCTTTCTACTATATACTCGAAAATTAGCAACAGTGCGGTGGTAATTTTTTTTTGCGAGTGACAGCGAGTCCGACAGTACCATAGAAACGCTCGAAGCCAGAGAAACTCTAAACTTGGGAGGAAATCGCGAACAGGAGGCCAGAATCGTAGCTTGGGACCAGAGACCGGTGGCGTCGTCCGGGAGGATACAGATTTTTTAGCATTACCGTGCTGACAACCCAAGTTGTTGTCGGATGGACTCGTGCAGCCAAACGACTTTTTGGCGACTTCCTCGCGGACTGGCCGCGGAAAAAGCAGACGCGGGTGACGATGACGGCGACAGGGCCCGAAAGGGTCTTCTTGAAATTGTCATCAAGTGACTTCTAAAATTTTTACAGTGTAATGCTACCTTTCCTAGGCCGAGCTTCGCTGCTGCGCGCCCGGGCTGTGCACGGACAGCTTGGTGTTCCTAGTGCTGGTGGCCCCCCGTGCCCTCGGCCACCCGTGCCCCCGGCCACCCGTGCCCCCGGCCGCGAGGGCCCGCACCTCGACCGCACCTGCTTAGCGATTCAGAACAATCGTTTCGCCACTCCGTCTCCGTCGCACTCGCCGGGCTATATATCCCAAAAGGGCGCGAGAGAGACAGAGCGACAAAGCGATCTTGTAAATCGCTCTGCTGCGGCTCACCGCTTTGCTGCTTGACCACTTGGGCCCCAGCAGACTGATTGCGAGAGTCCGTTTTCGTTGCTCTGTCTCTCTCGCACCCAAAGGGAGCGCCCCATGAGTGCGAGAGAGACAAAGCGCGACGAAAACGACTCTCGGAATGAGGCAGCAGAGGCCCACAGCCAGCCCCCCGAGTCTCACCTGCAGCGCGGCCTTCAGCGTGGCACGGGCATGGCATGTGTGAGCGCCGCGTCGCTGCAGCGATGCGCGTCGAGTCGCTAGTCGCTCCCACCGAAACCATTGTGGCACCGCGGCACCGCGGCCGCGTGGGCGTTTTGTTCTTTACTTATTTACCGCTCCGAACACTTCGGCGTTCACTTAACGAGACACGGACGGTGAAGCGGCAAAGTGGCAAAGTGTGCGGCTGAGGCGTTCGGAAAAAAAGAAAGGCTATCCAAGTTCCGCCCAAGGCTGTACTGACCTATCCCAACGCGCCGTGTCGGCCGCGTCTGACAGACGGAGCGCCGCCAGCACACTGGCTTAGACGGGCTGGCTGTCTCTCTCGCACTCTTGGGGCGTCCCGGAAGGTTGCGAGAGAGACGGAGAGGCACTTGGCTTCAATTGCAACTCTGTGCGCGATACAGTCGTAGGCGCCCGGATTGGCCGGGTGGCGCAATCCGCCAATCCACGCTCCGCACCCGTTTTGTGCGGATGGGCAGGCCGCACAGTGGGCCAGAAGACCGGAGGAGGCGGCCAAAACTCTAGACGCCTTTTGCACTCCAGAGTCGCTAAATGGGACTCGAAACGAACATGTGACCCCATCACTGGATTGCTCTCCGAACGAGGAGTCCATTGGTGGGGTCACACGTTCGGTTCGAGGCCTGTTTAGCGACTCTGGAGCTCAAAACGCGTCTAGAGTTTGGGCCGCCTCCACCGGCCTTCTGGCCCACTGTGCGGGCAGGGGGCGCATTAGAAAGGCCATTGCGGCAGTGCTGGACGCGCTGGAGGAGCTGGAGCCACCACTACAGCTTCGCGGCTGCGCGCTGCGCGCTATTGAGGACTTGACCAGCAGGCCGCTGCGGTCGAGCAACGATTCGTCGCACTGTCTCTCTCACGCACGTACTGGACCTACTGGACGACCCACGAGCGAGAGAGACGGCGCGACGAAAGCACCGTTGGGACCACGGCGACACCTCCCGTCCAGGCCTTGGCCGGTCGCCCACAGAAGGGGGAGTAGCGAGTGTCGTGTGGCTTGTGGCCTATGAGCGTCCCGTGCCGGCAGCAGTGTCCCTGCCCTGCACTCGTTCCACTTGCCAGCGGAACATAATTACCCGCTGGCACGGCACCGCACGCCGGGAGAGACGGGTGAAAGGGGAAGTGCTTCGGACACTTCCTCGAGGACGTCAGCGACGACGGCGACGACCCACCCCGGCCAACGCCGCCACTGCAGCGCACTGCAGTGGCGCCACCACGTCTCGTCGCTCCTTCTCATCCTCCACGGCACGGACGGGACGCACAGTGGATCAGAAGGCCGGCGCCGGCAGCCAAAACTCTAGACGCGTTTTGAGCTCCAGAGTCGCTTCGCTTAGCAGGACTCGAATCGAATGTGTGACCCCACCAATGGATTCCTCGTTCGGAGAGCAATCCATTGGTGGGGTTGCACGTTCGGTTCGAGTCCCATTTAGCGACGCTGGAGCTCAAAACGTGTCTGAAGTTTTGGACGCCTCCACCGGTCTTCTGGCCCACTAAAGGACTCTCATGAGAGCGGGGGAGGCGGAGTCAGCCTGCACCTGAATGGCTGAATGGCTGAATGTCGGCAGTGAAATGAAAGGCAAGGTGGCCGCCGAGTGCAGCGAGTGCATGTCCGTGCCGTGCCGCTCCACCGGCGTATGTCCGCACCGTCCGTCGTTTTGCTTTCTTCTTTTCAGTATTTGGCATTTGGGCTGAAGGCCCGCCCGCGCCTCGCTGCTCGTCTTGTCCGACTGGCCCACATTTTATCGGCGATGCGTCACCGCGGAAAGAAGACCCAGTGCGAGGCTGAGGTTTGCCCGCGTGACTTTGGCAGCGATTCGCCTTATCAGTGCCGCAGCGTGCGGCAGCGTGCAACACTCCTTCCTTTGTCCGACCGCCTCGGTCTGTCGCTCTGTCTCCCTCGCACACCGACGGGGTGCCCAATGAGTGCGACAGAGACAGCGCGACACGCGCGGGGCGTCACGGCATTGTTGTGGCGGGAAGCCTGAAAGTGCTGGACGTTCCTGGACGTTCCTGGAGGATCCTGCAGGATTCTGGAGGTGGCGGACCACGCGGGCAGCGGCACTGCAGGACTCCATTGTCACCGTTCGACACCCACCTTGATGAGCGCGAAGCGCTGGTCGTCGCTCAGGCCCTTGGCGGGCGCCATGGTGAACGTAGACACTACGACAGGTTGTCGTCACTTGTAGACGTCACTTGTAGACGTCACTTGCAGACGTCACTTGCAGACGTCACTTGCAGACGACACTCGACGCGGAGCACAGCCGTGCCCGTCCAGACCGTCCAGGCCGTCAGCGCGGCCACGCTCTGGCCACGATCGCCGCGGCACTAGGGCCCCCCGCCGCGCGCCGCGGCCGCACCGCCACGCCCGCCAGGAGCCCCCCTCCCCTCCCTCCCCTCTCTTTACCCCCCGCCTCATCCTACGGCTTTCTCCAGCCGCTCCCCTCCCCCTTTCCCCCCCACCGCCAGTGCTCTGGTTCTTTTCCGCCTTTCCTTCTGAGCCACTCATATTTCTCCAACTGCATTTCTCATACTGCTCTGATGTGGAAGCGGCAGTGGCAAGAACCCGAAATCCCCCCCCGGGCCCAGGTGCGGCCGCGACACGAGCTTTGGCGGTCAATCTGCTTCTCAAAGTCACCGACCCGACAGCCCGACAGCCCGACAGGCCGGGTTGTTTGTTTTGGTCCGTCTTTGCTGCGTCCGTCCCGTGGGTCTCGTGAGTCTCGCGGGTCTCTCGCGGGTCTCTCACGGCTTGGAGACTTTTGGCTGCTCTTCGCGGCCACGCACATGCCGGCCACCAGGCCGGATAATTCGTGACCGACGCATCCGGCAACAGCCACAGGCCTTGCAGCGCCTTGCAGCGGCGCCATGCACCATGGTCATGGTGATTTTGATGGTGGTGGTGGTGGTGACGGCGATGGTCATGACGGGCATATTCCGCATAAGGAGCGCCCCTCCCCCCCCCCTCCCCCCCTGGGTGCCACCGGCTGGCTGGCCGGCTGGCTGGCCGGCTGGCTGGGTCGGCTGGCTTTCCGAGGGGAATGGGAACAAAAGTTGCCATGACGCAGTCGAAAAAGGCTTACCGGCCGAAAGGCCCGAAAGGCCGAAACCGCACTCGCCACGATACGGATTGGAAGAAACACGCTCCATTGCTGGAATTGCTGCATTGCGGTGTGTGCATGTGTGTGTGTGTCTGTGTGTGTGCGTGCCACCGTCATACCGGCAATACGCGGCGATCACGGCGGCCGGGCCGGCCACCCTCCCTCTAGCCCGCGGGGGAACCCCCCCCTCTCCCCTTCCCACTTCCCCCTCCCGGACTAGACTTCCGCCTAATTACTATTACTACAGAGCTCCGCCGCGCCGAAGAACTGTTTACGCAAGACCGACCGGACACGGGGCATTTGTGTACGTGTGTGAGCGTGGCGCGCGCGCGCGTGTGTGTGTGTGTGTGTGTGTGCGCGAGAGTGTAACTGTAAGCGGTGGTGTATATGTGATGAGGTATATGGAGCAGGCCGTTGGATCCACGGTAAAAATCAGTCATTCATCGAGTATAGGAACGAGCCAGTTTGAATCCGAGAGATCGTTTCCAGGGGACGGTCCACGCGGTCACGTCTGCCAGGACGGTCCCCTGGAAATGTTGTCATGTCTACAGTCCCGCAGGACGGTCCTGGGAACGGGCCTTCGGATCGCGACGCGTCGCATCCAAACTGGCCCGTGCCACGGCGTGCCGGCCCTGGAAAAACACCAGCACGGTGTTTACCGCGCGGGTCGCTGGGCGTTAGCGCGTTTGCGCGCTGGCTGGAAAATTGAGCGACAATCTGCCAGGAGGCGACCGGGTGGAAAGGGGGAAGGACGTCGCCGTTGCGCCGGAGCACGGCCAGAGCGATGCGACGGGTGGGAAGCGGCAAGCAGCCCGGCCTCCAATTAAGACTAAAATTAGAGAGAGAGCAAACAAAAAGCGGTCGCCGTGCGCTTGCACGACCCGGTGCAGCGCACGCGCGACCTGGGGGAACTGAGGGCGACAAATCAGCATTTTTGGGTGATTGGGACGAGTTTATTGTCGGTTAATGGTTAGTGAGTACAATGTGATGGTGCGGAAGGGAAGCGTTAATACTTGGAAACAGACTGGCGCGAAACAAAGAACTTGACGGAGCGTGGCGCGGCGTGGCTGGCTCAGCTTCAGGCGGCCGCCGCGGGCACGGTCTTGAGGCGGTCGCGCACGTTGGAGGTGCAGACGCCGTCGCCGAGCTGCAGCTGGGTCAGCACGAACCGGGACAGGGGCTCGCCGACGCCGAGCTTCTTCTCGTTGATGGCCTCCGTCACCTTGGAGGCGAGCAGGGCGTTGAAGGCCACGGTGGCGCCTTCCATCGTGGTGTCCACCCCGCTCACCTCGACGTCCTTGACGGACGTGAAGTTGAAGGAGCACGCCTCGGGGCTCACGGTCGCCAAGCCCTCCGCCTCGAGCCGCAGCACGCCGATGGTGGTGGTGAAGTTGCCGGAGGGGCCCACGCCGGCCACGGTGCGCGTGAACTCGCCGCTGCAACCGAAATTCATTTCCTGAGAAACATAAATCCCGCAGCACACCTCGGATTCGCGGGTGGGCCAGTTGTGGGCCGATTCTTATTTATGGGCCGCGCCGCCCATGTAAACACGAACAGGCCGAGTGGAGGCTAGCTCGAGGCGGGGCATGCCGCCGGGGTCGCGGCGACGAGCGGTCCGCAGCCGTGCTCCGCCCCATCGCACCTGCAGACGGAATTTTTCGTCGCGCTGTCTCCCTCGCACCCCTGCGGCACGCCGCACATGTGCGACAGAGACAGAGTGGCGAAAACGCTCGCGGAATGGTCCGGCTGGCGTCCGGTTCGCCCGGGTCCCGCACTCTGAAAGTAGTGCCGACTGGTGCCTTACGTGAGCTTGGGCTGGTCGATCTGCAGGGGCAGCGTGAAGGAGACGGTCTTGCCGGACACCAGTGGGTCCAGTCCCAGGGCGCCGCCGCGGTGCAGCGAGGTCAGCCCGCTCAGCTTGATGTGCGTGGCCTGCTTCACGGTCTCCACGCTGATGCCCAGCGTGGTGCGCACCGTCTGTCGGATGTACGGCGGCAGGTCCAGGTCCTCCACCGTACTGAACTTGGTCAGGGTCTTGTCCAGGGCCTCCTGCAGACCCTCACGCGCCACCTCGGCCTGCCACAGGACAAGTTTACAGCTGGAGGGTGGAGTGTTAGATGACTGAGTCGATGCGTGTTGTGCGTCTCTCTCTCTATCGCGCGCCCATTAACACGGCTGTAATTGCGCCTGATTGCCGGGCGCGCGCGCGAGAGAGGACAGAGGGCTCACCTGGCCGGCGGTGAAGTCCGCCGCGAACGCGGTCCCTCGCAGAAGGGCCACGCACAGCACGATCTGCCACACCTGGAGTGGAGAGGAGGCTTTAGCTGCTTTAGCGGGGTCAAGGTTGGCAGCACTGCGCAGCACTGCCCGACCATCTTCTCTGTCTCTCGCACTCACGGGGTGCTGCTGAGTGCGGGAGAGACAGAGCGACGGAACATTGTGTGCGGATTCAGGGAGCCCTGTGCAGTTGATTCGAGCTGCACATTTCTTGGCGCCTGGTTGGCGTATCGTTGGCGGTCATCTCGAAGGTCACCGCCATCGCCATGCCCGGCCATACCATGGCCGTGCCGCGAGAAAAACAAAGCGCTCCGTGTCGCTCTGAAATCCACACGGCACAACTTTTCCGCCACGGCCGCCGGACGACGGTAAAGCAGTACACCGGTAAACCGCGACAGCGGTCGGCCCTTCCAGACGCCCATGTTCGCTTATCGCATCTCGATCCAGATCGTCGCCTATTTCCGCCGCTTCTCCGAGTAGACTCTGCCGACACGTCCGCACCGACGCCGCACAGTGGGCCAGAAGACCGGTGGGGGCGGCCAAAACCCTAGACGAGTTTTGGGCTCCAGAGTCGCTACTCAGCAGGGCTCGAACCGACCGTGTGACCCCACCAATGGATTCCTCGTTCGGAGAGCAATTCATTGATGGGGTCACACGCTCGGTTCGAGGCCCATTCAGCGACTCTGGAGCTCAAAACGCGTCTAGAGTGACCGCCTCCACCGGTCTTCTGGCCCACTGTGCGCCGAGAGCAGCTCCGGGGAAACAATGGCCGCTGAACCACGCCAATCGTCCCGCGTAATCCAAAGTGCGGCTCGACCGAACCGAACTCACCTGCGGCATGTTGGCGGCGTTGCTTGGCTCTCCGGTTCCTCTGTTCCTCGTCGCGCTGACTCCAAGTCTCGTGACAAGGTGCGAGCGGCGGTCGGCGCGGGGCAGTGGCTGGCTGGCTGGCTGGCTACACCTCGGCGGGTCGGAAGGCACTGCGTCCGCCAGTCCGCGTCTGCGAGGAAGTCCCGACGATGGAGCCGCCTCGACCCGTCTCGTCTTCCTCTATCGTGCTCGCTGGCACTTTGACCGGACGCCGCTTTTTGCCTTGAAATGCCCGCCGAACCGTACCGAATCAAGGCAGACCGGCTCGGCCATGTTGCCAGCTGAAGCTGCCAAGCTGGGGAGGTGGGAAAAAGATCGCCGCGAAATCCGACTCCGCGTTCTGTTCTTGCTGCCGCGTGGCGTAGCGGCGCGTGGCGCGGGCCCGGGGAAGTCCGGCGGCGCTACCCCGCGCGAGCAGAGACCCCGCCGTGCCGGTTGGGCTGCCTACCCTGCAGGGGCTCCCGCAGACCCAGCACGGCACCGTGCGGCGTGCGTGCGGTGGGGTGCCTGCCTCCCCAGCCTGCCCGTCGGGCGAGTCAGAGTCATCTCGCACAGTGTACAAAGTGGTGGTCGCACCTATGCGTGTGTGATGAGCCAGAGGAATGCCCACCTTTACAACCTCGAGGAAAATTCCACTTGAGTTTTATTAGGGTCAGTATAGAGGTGCTGTGTTTGCGGTCGCTCCAATGAGACAGTCAACAGTATACAGTTTTAAAGAACATTTATTCAGACTCTTTGTGACCTACAACTAGATGAACTGCTAAATTATAACATCGTATCACAATATTTCGGCATCGGCGCTTGCGAGCCATGGAAGACAGGACTTCATATGACAGGTAAATTTGTGCATCAAAATCCAGTATGTTTATTTCTGGTACAGGACTAGCTGGGCAATAGAGGGAGTGTGAGACCCCATCACTGAATAGCCAATGCACATTAGTTTTCTGAACCTGTACCCTGGAAGAGCCACACATTTTGTTCTTTCCCTAATTTAATAAAAATACATGCAAATTGGCCTATCTACACAAAATAGTACAACTAATTAATAATAACAAACACGGTTCAGGTAAAAACTCCATGAAAGTAGTGCAAAGATCATGACAACACATTTCATTCATTCTGACTGAGACATTACAAGGGGGCTTTACACCGATACAATGCTCAGACAAAAAAATAAAAACAAAGCAAAAAAAATAAACATACAAAAATTTAAAAATTTTAAAACCCATACCAGCCCTACAAATATGGATATGAAATAAATATGTCACTGTTCTTGATGTGTTAGATTGACACAAAACTTGGAAGCATATAAGCATCTCAAAAACAAAAACACAAACAGGTACATTTCAGGCTTTCTACCAATCAAAAAACAGCCTCACAACCTAGGACTCCAAGAAGAGAGACTCATAATAATAGTCTTATCTAGAATCTTCAAATACTGTTGTAGCTGCAGCTTGGCACATAGTTTGGATTTATTGCCAATGCATTTTCTTCATACTTTTTGGATGAAACAAAAAAAGTTTTTTAAACCCCCATATGTAGACTGATGTTCATGATTTAAAATACTGCTGATGGGTACAGTTTTAAATCAAAGGGGTTAATTGTAAACAAACGGCCAAGCAAGGGCTGCAGCATCCATGTTAACCTGTCGTTGAATGAAGTGTCACTTATTTTATCCTCCTTCTCATAGTGCATCGATCAACTCCTTGAAGTCTGAGACGAACCACTTGGCTCTTGATCTGACTTCCTCTCTGACAACATTGCCTCCAAAACCTGAAAATTGGGAAATAGGATGTAATTTAGTACAACAGTTTCAAATAGTTTCAAATGGGATACATGCTGTAAAAAATTTTAAGCTAGGCTCACCAATGAAAGCATCAGCTGGAGGGCAAGCTTCTAGATCGGTGGCTCCATCTCCAATTAGAACAATGGAGTTGTAACGGTGAGTTTTCTTCAGCATCTTGATCACCTCTCCCTTGCCACCCTGTCGAGATGTAGGCTCATCTTCATCAAAGCCAGCATATTCACCTGAAAATTTTTATTTCACACCATAAAAATAAGGAACAGATGAGCCCTAGAATAATGATGGAATGATCATGCCTCCGGCTAGATAGTAACTCAAGATTTTAGTCTATCTTGAAACCATTACTTACCATTGAAGTAGAACTTGAGTCTGTTGGCATACACATTCTGAATGGGAATGTTCAATTCCTGCGCAATTGGCTGAATAAGAACACGGAATCCACCAGAGATGAGATAAACGGGAATACGGCGTTTGTGCAGCTCTTCCACTAGCTCCCTGATCAGAGCAAAGCATATCATTAATAATTTGTTTCCAGATATTGAGAAATAAAAACAAACGAAGAAACACCATTTTTCTTACTTTATCCTGGGAGACAGGCGAGCGGGTTCATTTTGAAGGAAGCTCTTGATTTGACTCACGGAGGGCTTGATGATGTTCAGACGCATGGCAAGAGCCTCACGGAAATTCATACTACCCTTCATCGCTTCTTTGGTCCTGGAGATTGAAAATTTAAAAAACAATTAAACAAGGTAAAATTGAAATTTTCAAAGAAAAGGAATGGTGTAACTGACATGCAAATGTCAAAGGAAAATTTTTTAGGCTTCTTTCCAATAATGTGCGTGTCTCATTTCATGCATAGTTGTGTTTCCATTATCAGTTAATTTTCCAATGTCAGCGGCACAAGGAACCACTATCAGTAGCTTGGAGCACAGCTGTTGCAATCTTATGTTATCTTGACAAAAATGTACAGTATAGAATTGGTCCCTAGCAACAGCTGACACAACTTCCAATTTTTAAAAGAAGCGGCATTGCTTCACGGCAGTGGCCCAGTTTGAGAACAACAGAATACTTAGAAACTTACAAAGCAGCGACGGCATCTCCTTTCCCACAGTATTTGGCCATCTCGTCGATGGCTTCATCCATGATGACAGTGGAGTCGACATCAAAGCAGACTGCGTCAGCAGTGCGCCAAAGGTGGCGCACCTGGTCCGACGAGTCCATATTCCTGATGATGGGCTGCGAACAAAAAGGAAAGCTTGTTGAAGACAACAGAAGTACGCTTCCTTCTTTGAGGAGAAAGGACCTTAGTAACCTACAAACAAACAAGCCTAACTTCTCCATAGCCACGGTTGCTAAGGAAAAGGCTGTCTGCTATTCTTTAAAATGAAATAAAAATAAACGTCACAACCGTGCCAGGCTCTTGACGCCACGGTCTTACAATCCCTAAGCACTCACAGTGGTGGCCCATGTTGGGGCAGTGGTGGACAAGGACCTAACAGACACTGTTGCTTTGGCCACAAACGCCAGCAACACGCTGGTAACCCTAAACCGCATGGCCTTGAACTTTGCGGCGGTGCTGTCGCCTTCGCGTCAAACTGTCAGTTCCCGGGGCACTTGTTGCTTAAGCCTAGCCGCTAAGCGCAGGTCCTTGAGATCGAGAGTCCGGGCCGGCCTGTTGTTGACACTCTGCTGACCGCCGCCACCGCCCCCTCCCAGTGGCCGCCCCACACCCACCCCCACCCCAGCCCCTCGGAACCGGAAACGGGAGGGAAGGCCCGGACACGCTGGACACCCTCCAGGGCCTGGTGTTGTCATTGTTGTTGTTGACACCTGCGCGGCGCGTGCAGTGGCGAGGCGTTGGCGTGCAGCTGCAGGTGCACTCACCATTTTGCTAATCGGTTTATCCTTGCCGGGGGACGAGAAGGAACGCGGCGCCGCGAGAGCCGAGCCGTGCCGAGCCGAGTGAGTGAGTGGTCGCGGTGGCGGTGCGAACGGAATGGGTCGAGCGGCCGGCCGCGGTCGCTTTATAAGGAACACACACACTCGCCGTGCCGTGCCGCCTGGTGCCGCCGTGCCGCCGTGCTTCGACAAGACCTCCTTCCACCGCCGCCGCAGCAGCAGCAGCAGCGGCGGAGGCGGCCGGCTATCCGGACATCGCCTCCTGCCCCAAGCCGCGGGCCCCGGGTGGGAGGGGCGGGGCGGGTCAAGCGGCACACGCCCGGACGGCCATCCAGTGACGAAACGTGGTCATCTTGTTACCAACGAGGGGCCCCAGGGGGGCTCTGGGGCTCGGACGGTCGCGGGGGGTCATCGGTGGAGGGGGCCCCGTGGGAACGGACGGTGGCTGATGACAAACACATGCATCCCGGGGCATCACTGCCGTCGTTGCCTCACACCCGGGGTCGCACCACCTTCGCGACGACGACGGCGTGGCCTGGGCCTGGCGCGCCGCTCCAGCATGGCTCCAGCTCCAGCGCGCACTTACCTCCTGCAGCGCGCACTCGATGACCGCCGCACGCACGCACGCACTCACGCCGGCAAGGCCCCGCGTTCGCCACGCTCCGCCACGCCGCGGCGCTCGCAGGGCAGCAGGGCGACGGTGTGGCTATAAACGCGAGCTGCTGGCGGCGCGGCCACAGGGGCTACAGCGCGGTGCGGGACTAGTCCGCCAGCGCCGCCAGGCGAGCAGCGCCAGCCAGGAGACAGGCTCACAGTGGGCCAGAAGACCGGTGGCGGCGGCCAAAACGCTAGACACATTTTGAGCTCTAGAGTCGCTAAATGGGACTCGAACCGAACGTGTGACCCCACCAATGGATTCCTCGTTCGGAGACCAATCCATTGGTGGGGTCACACGTTCGGTTCGAGGCCTGTTTAGTGACTCTAGAGCTCAAAACGCGTCTAGAGTTCTGGCCGCCTCCACCGGTCTTCTGGCCCACTGTGAGGCACCCCCGTGGGGGCCGTGGGGGCCGCCATCCCCCGCCAGCCCCCGCCCCCACTACAAAGGGGCGCGAGCTTGGCGCGAGCTTGGCGCGAGGCAAAGCCCTCGGAATCCCATTCTCCTTGTCCCAGTCCGCCCCGCCCCGCCCCGCCCCGCCCCGGCCCGCCCCGTCGCGCCCCCGTGTCGTGTAACCAGTTATACAGCACTCCCCCTTCCCCGCCGCCAACCCTTACGCGCAGCCAATTCCTGGTCAATTACGTCGTTTTCGCGATCGGGCCGAAACAATGACGACGCGGACGCAGCACCGCAGCTGTCTAACCCAACCTAAGCCTGAGCCAGCCCCGCGTGACCGCGTTAAGGCGGACGAGCGCCCTGTGTCACAGTGCAGTGGTCACAGTGTCACGACACGGACCGTGCCGTGAGGCCGCGAGGTGGACTGGTGGACTGGCACCGTTGGCGCCAACGAGGGAGCACGTGGATGGGGCATCTCGCCACCGCCAAAGCGGCCGAAGCCCAGCAGACTGATTCCGAGAGTCGTCTTCGTCGCTCTGTCTCTCTCGCACCTGTGCGGAACGCTCTATGAGTGCGAGAAAGACAGGACGACGAGAATGACTCTCGGAATCAGTCTGCAGAGGCGGCGGCTCGCCTCGCAAACTGATACCTACGCCGTGGACTGCGCGGGTGCGACGTGGTTGCCTGCTGTTCATAATGTTGGCAGCAGCTCGGGGGACGGGGGTGTGCGCGGAAAGACGAAAAACGAGTACTATGAGACAGTGACAACAGTGGGGCCGAGCCTGGCGGTGCCTGGCCGCCTAGCCTACTGTCTAGTCTAGCGCATATCGCGGTCTTGAAGCCGGCACCGCCGTTTGGCAACAGCGCCGCACCACGGCACACATAGACGCGCCCCTCCCCTTGCCCCTGGCCGCCCCTGGCCCCGGCGGTGCCCTGTGATCGAATCACACTACTAATCACGCCTCACATCACCGCGGTGACGAGCAGTTTTCAGTAATCCAGAAAGTTCAAATGTCTGCCATTGTCTGATTTGTTGGCATAGTGGCGCCGGCGGGGCGCTGTGCGGCACTGTAACTGTAACCACCTCGTCCTCACCCCTTGCGCCGGAGCGCTGGAACGCTGGAACGGTGACTCGCGCCTCGCCCAACCGGTCCACGTGGGGCCCAGGCCCGGGCCCAGCGCGTGGCCCCCACGTGGACCCCACGTGGACCGCAGGCTGTTTACGAGAAGGGCTGTCTCCGTCGCACCCATACGGCACACCCCGTGGGAGCGAGAGAGAGAGAGAGAGAGAGAGAGAGAGAGAGAGAGAGAGAGAGAGAGAGAGAGAGAGAGAAAGAGAGAGAGAGAGAGGAGAGAGAGAGAGAGAGAGAGAGAGAGAGAGAGAGAGAGAGAGAGAGAGAGAGAGAGAGAGAGAGAGAGAGAGAAGGCTCCCGCTCGAGGAATGAGGCTCAGGGCTTCGCGGCTTCGCGGCCGCAGACGGGAGTAGACGGCGCGGTCACTCTCGCCTCGCGGGGCGTCGCGACGGACTTGGGGGAAAGGGGGGGGGGGCTGTTTGGCGGTCAAGGCGACAGCGGCCGCGGCCGTGTCACCGCCACGCGTTGGTGGGACAGGTCGTCACAGTCATCAGCGGAGGAAGAAGTTTGGCCCCTCACTCCCTCTTTCTCGATTTCCCTTACTTCTCTCTCCCTTTTGGCAAGCGGAGCGTGTCGGCTGCCACCGTGAGTAAACTTTCAAATGACGTGTTCTTTCATCCGAGGACTGCATCTGCTGGGAGCGCGTATCGCCGCGACTCGCCTCGTCGCGATGCGCCGCCGGCAGGGCGGCGGCACCACGACGACCACGACGACCACGACGCGTCGGACCTCTTGACCCTTCCCGACGGACTAACTGGATATTACCAGTTGCCAGTGTGACCTGGTGACCCGCCTCGTATCTCCGCTGCCTGTCGCGTCAAGTTCGAGGCACGGCGCGGCACGGCGCGGCACGCACGTGGTCAAAGCTCCGTTTAGGCCGCTCGATGGACGGACGACTGCTTGGCGGCTGGCGGCTCCCGCGTCAAGATCCCCGAGATCCGACGGCGGCGGTGGCTGCGGCCTCGATTCCGAGAGTCGTTTTCGTCGCTCTGTCTCTCTCGCACTCATGGGTCGTCCCGCGTAGGTGCGAGAGAGACAGAGCGACGAAAACGACCCTCGGAATGAGCGTACCGGCTTCCACCTGCAGGCCGTGCAGGCCCTGCAGGACAAAGCGGCCTTGTGGCTGGGCAGCCGGGGGCAGCCGGGGGCAGCCAGGGGCAGCTGGGCACGGAAATAGCCGGGCCGCGCGATGCCGCCGCTGTCATCCTTTGACCTCGTCCATTGGACGCGCATTCGGGTTCATATCCATTGACAACCGCAATCCGGCTAAATTTAAGTCGCGGCGTCGGCGGCGCGGCAGTGCGCGGCAGCGGGCTAGACTACCTCTCGTACGCCGCCAGTCCCGCCAGTCCATTCATCACAGCCTGTTCCCAGCTCCCCGCCGACGCCAACAAGGCCCCGTGCCCGAGGGACGTCGGGGACGTCTCGACCGCGCTGTCCCGAAGGCGCCCCTTGCAGTGCGAGCTGCAACCTGCTCTATCCTACGAGTGTGCTAGAGAGAGAGCGTCGGATAAACGACTCTCGGAGTCAGTCTGCAGGGTGCCACCCGTTTTGTAGGCTTGCAGGACCTGCGGTGGCTGGGGCGTCGTCGCGAAGGTTCCAAGTGTTTGACAAGTCGGAAGCTTGCGGCGCGGCGCGGGCCATGACCACCGCCACCGCGCCGCCACCGCGCCCCGCCCGATGACATGATTGCCGGGCTCGACCCCGACCACGCACTGGCCAGACGAGCGGGGGCGTGGTGTGGCGGGGCAGGGCGGCGCGCGGCGTAGACTCGAAACGCACTATGCAGTGATTGAGGCCAGCAATCTCAACCAAAAAACGAAACCGTGTGGACAAGAGGACGGCGGGGGGCCGCGAACCCACCCCGCCCGGCACGCAGAGGAACACGCGTTCCGTCGGCATGACGTCATACTTCTTGGTACCAGGACGGCGAACGGGGGTGACTCCCGGTGACGACGGGGCGACTTCAGTCTGAGTCACGGCACTAGAAGGATTTGGAGCGCGTCTGGCAGCAGGCGTGGCAGAAGGGCGGTTTTCTCGTCTCGGCAAGTACTTCAGGGCAAGTACTCGGAAACGGCGCTGCACGTCATTCATTCATGCGGGGTGGAGCGCAGAACTCGCCGTTTGGCAAGTTACAGTGCAGGGCCGCCGCA